AAATCCAACACCCATTTTTTTATAAAAACTCTCAGCAAAGTGGGAATAGAGGAATCATACCTCAAGATAATAAAAGCTTTATATGACAAACCTACAGCCAACATCATACTCAATGGGCAAAAGCTAAAACCATTTCCCCTAAGAACAGGAACAAGACAGGGATGCCCACTTTTACCACTCTTGTTTGATGTAGTACTGGAAGTGCTAGCCAGAGGGATCAGACAAGAAGAAGAAATAAAAGAAGAAGTAAAATTGGAAAAGAAGAAGTAAAACTGTCATTATTCGCAGATGATATCATACTGTACATAGAAAACCCTAAAGACTCCATCAAAAAAACTACTAGACTTAATAAATGAATTTGGCAGTGCAGCAGGATACAAAATTAACACCCAGAAATCTATGGCTTTTTTTTTTTATATACACTAATAATGAACTCACAGAAAGATAAACAAAACAAAACAAAAATCCCATTTACCATTGTACACACACACACACACACACACACAAAAGATACCTAGGAATAAACTTAACTAAGAAGGTAAAATACTTGTACTTGGAAAACTACAGGACATTGAATAAAGAGATATAGGAAGACATAAACAAATGGAAGAGTATATTGTGTTCATGGATTGGTAGAATCAACATCATTAAAATGTCCATACTACCCAAAGCAATCTAAAGATTCAATGTAATCCCCATTAAGATACCAAGGGAATATTTCACAGATCTAGAACAAACTCTCCAAAAATTCATATGGAATTTTAAAAAGACCCTGAATAGCTAGAGCAATCCTGAGAAAGAACAAAGTTGGAGGGATCAAGCTGTATTACAAAGCCACTGTTCTCAAAACTGCCTCGTACTGGCACAAGAACAGACATATAGCCAGTAGTTAGCAAACTGCTACTCGCAAGCCACATGCGGCTCTTTGGCCCCTTGCGTGTGGCTCGTCCACAAAATACCACGTGTGGGTGTGCACGTACAGTGTGATTGAAACTGCGTGGCCCATGCACAGCAGTTCATTTTCGGCTCTCAAAAGAAATTTCAGTCATTGTACTGTTGATATTTGGCTCTGTTGACTAAGGAGTTTGCCGACCACTGATATAGACCAATGAAACCAAACAGAGAACCCAGAAATCAACTGAAGCCATTATGCTCAATTAATATTTGACAAAGGAGACAAGAGCATACAATGGAGTCAAGACAGTCTCTTCAATAAGTGGTGTTGAGAAAATTGGACAGATAGATGAAAAAAAAAAAAAGTGAAACTAGACCACCAACTTACACCATACACAAAAATAAAATCAAAATGCATTCTTTTTTAAAAAATATATTTTATTGATTTTTTACAGAGAGGAAGAGAGAGGACAGAGAGTTAGAAACATTGATGAGAGAGAATCATCGATCAGCTGCCTCCTGCACACCCCCTACTGGGGATGTGCCCACAACCAAGGTACATGCCCTTGACAGGAATTGAACCTGGGGACCTTTCAGTCCGCAGGCCGACGCTCTATCCACTGAGCCAAACCAGCTTTGGCATCCGGCACTGGAATTTTTTAAATCCTCAGCTGCTTTTAATGTGGCCCCTCTCTCTTGTCCAGCCCTCCAGTCCTCCCATTTTATAGGTGCCAATACTGAGGTCCAAAGGGATACTAAACAGCTTGCCCAAAGGCCTATACCTTCAAATAATTGCAAAAGCAGAAACAAACAAAACCACTCACCCACGTGAGTGGCATTCACCTTCTTTTTCTCAGAACAGGCATCTGAGTGCCCATTCTTTTCTTAGAGAGTGGAGAGCTCAAGGGCGGAGACACAGTAGAGTGCGTGGCAGTGATTTCCAAATGTGATCACCTCAGAACCCCCTGGGGGGCCTGTTACAACGCAGACAGCTGGGCCCCCTCGGAGGGTCAGGTTCCATGGGTGTGGGGTGGGGAGAAGAATAACATTCTAACAGGGCCCCAGGGGACAGCTGTGGTGCTGGTCCAGGACCACACCAGCATCGTGGCGAAGGCTCAGGCTAAAGAACCGCGCTGCCTGGTGAGATCTGATTCTGCCCTGACATCTTGTCAGAACATGGGCAAGTCACTTAGCATTTGTGAAACGGGGCTGATATTCGTTTGGGCTTATCGTAACCATCAAATGAGTATAACATACATACAGCATTTAGAACTGTGTCTGGCCGAAACTGTGTTTGGCTCAGTGGATAGAGCTTCGGTCTGTGGACTGAAAGGTCCCAGGTTTGACTGTGGTCAAGGGTATGCACCTTGGTTGCGGGCACATCCCGGTGGGGGATGTGCAGGAGGCAGCTGGTCGATGTTTCTCTCTCATCGATGTTTCTAGCTCTGAATCCCTCCCCCTTCCTCTCTGTGAAAAATCAATAAAATATATTAAAAAAAAAAAAAAAAAAAAGACCTGTATCTGGCCTATAGTAACTGCTTAATAAATATGAGCTATCACCACTCATTCGTTCATTCACTGAACCATTATTAATTAAGTGCTTCCTTTGAGCCAGGCTCTGTTCCTGGCACCGGAAGTACAGTGGTGAGTAAGCTCAAAGCCCAGCTTCCCAAGGAGCTTGCAATGCACGGTGGAGGCACACGATACCTTGCAAACACATCACAAGTCACCCAGAAGAATGCTGCGCACCCAGCGTGCTGAACAGCAGGCGCACACAGAATTTCGTGAGAACTTGATCTGGTCTCGTTCGCATCTTCCAGATCAAGGAAGTGGCGGCATCAAGTTTCTAAGGCGCCTTAGCAAGAGGGCTCCTACCGTGGTGCCCGAATGAGCCCAGGCTATGGCATTTGGCCAAGGTTCTCCACAGCAATAGAACCAATAGAAAAATTATATATCTATATCCATATCTATATCCATATCTATATCTATATCCATATCTATATCCATATCTATATCTATGTATATATATATCCATGTGTCACTTATATTTATATTTATGCAGATTTAAAAATATATTTCTTTTTTTTTAATTTTGTACAGAGAGGAAGGGAGAGAGATAGAGAGTTAGAAACATCGATGGGAGAGAGTCATCGATCAGCTGCCTCTTACACACCCCCTACTGGGGATATGCCCGCAACCAAGGTACATGCCCTTGACCGGAATCGAACCCGGGACCCCAAGCCGACGCTCTATCCATTGAGCCAAACCGGTTTCGGCTAAAAATATATTTCTATATTCTACAATAAATACACATTGTTACTATATAGCATTATGTATTAATAACCTAGTTACATAAAAGATATTTTAAATATTTGTATAGATGGTCATGTATATACTATAGAAATTGGCTCAGTGACTATGGAGGCCAGGAAGTCCCACACGGTGCCATCTGGAAGCTGAAGACCCAGGGAAGCGGGAGGTATAACAGTCTGATTCCTAAGGCCTGGGAATCAAGAGCATAGGTGTCCCAGGACAGAAGAAGATGGATGTCTCAGCTCAAAATAGAGAGCACATTCACCTGCCTCTGCATTTCTGTGTTAGGCAGCCCCTCAACAGCTTAGATGGTGCCCAGTCACGTGGTTCAGAAGGTCTTCTTTACTCCGTCTGCTAGCTCCAATGCCAGTCTCTCCCAGAAACATCCTCGGAGACACATTTCATAAATAACACAAAAATTAACCCTCCCAGCACAGCCACACCAGCCAATACCTTCGGGTTTGTTTGAGAGGGGACATTCAAGACGATAGCAGGCAGACTGGGGAGAGGGCTAGAAGCAAAGAGAAGGTGTCCACACACTGGATGCTCTCTAGATGTCATTCCATGTAATCCTCAGAATCGCTGTGAGGCAGGCACTGTGGGAGGAGAGGAAGCTGAGTGGGGGAAGTGGAACGCCAATGATCTGAGCAATTCTATGAGAGCTGGCCTGGCAGCAAGCAGAGTGGGGGCCACTGTCACACCACCAGCCACGTCCGCCCCCTTCTTCTGCAGCCCCAGGCAGGGCAAGGGTGAAGCCGTAACTGCAGCCCTGTATTTGCCCACTGTCCCTCTCTCTGTTCCTCAAGCAAGTGACAGCGATGTAACAAGAGGCATGGAGCAGCGACAGCTGCCTCTGAGCCAGAACACTGTGACCGCAGGCCAGCCTCCTACCCCAGATGGTCTTCCTCAACATGTAAAAAAAATAAAAGAAAAAAGAAAGAAAAACCTTTATTAAAGATGTAAAAGACACTGATTGCTGGGAAATACAGACCAGTAAATCCGAAGAAAATAAAAGTGGGCCATAATCCTCTCACTTCAGGGGGAAAAAACCCCACAAATTTTGATAGCAATTCCCCTCTCACCTTCAAATCACAGGGAGCCTGTCCTCTGTGCCGTTCGCTGCCCTTTGCAGTTGCACATGTTAACTACCTGGGCGTCCTTTGTTTGTGTTGTGTTTTCACTGGGACTTGTTTCTGGGGGGACGGTCTCCACTTTGCTGGGTGAGGGGCATGGGTTTGGGGCACGTGGAGGGTGCTGGTGTGGAGTTGTTTTCCTGTTCGCAGCACTCACCTCACCGCCTTGGGGCCAATTGTTTTCCCAGGCTCTTGGCAGATGGCATCTGCACGCTAGAGCTGGCGCCTCGCGTGGGGATGTTTTCGTCCGGGTTTGACAGCGCCGGCGGCTCTCTGGCCCTTGGAACGGCCAGCGTTCGGACGTCGGCGATGCCTGGCCTCGGCTTTGGCCGGGAGCCTTCGATGTGCAATGGCGCCTGGCGGTGGCAGGGGCGGCCTTGCCTCTCCCTGGGCTCAGGGAGGTTCCCGGCGAGGCCGAGAGGGCAGCGCGAGGGAGGCCGAGGGCCCGCGCTTCGCGGTCACTAGGCAACAGGCGCCTTAGCAACAGAGAGGGGGCGGGACCTAGAGAGGAAGCCGGAAGCAGCGACTAAATCTCGCGAGAGCTGCTTTTGCGCGCGAACTCCAAGTGCGAGGGTCCCGGGAGTAGGTCTGGGCTGAGCTCGGTGCTGACCCCCGGGGACGCCGCGGCTCCAGCGGGTTGGACGCCTTCATCGCCCCGCCATGGAGACCTCAGCGCAGCCGCAGCCTGCGGCGTCCAAGATCCGGAACCTGCCCTGGTAGGAGAGGCCTGGCTGCCGGGGGAAAGGGGGCGGCCTCTCGGAGAGGCGGTGGGCGGGTAGGCCAGGGGCCGGGCCCCGCGGGACTTCATCCCTGCGTCCCGGACCTCCGTCTCGACCTCCCCCAGCTCCCCAGTCTCCCTCCGTTCTTAGGGCCTTTCCAGGGCTTTCGCACCTGGATGACAGCACGGGGATTTGATCCCGCGTCTTGGCATTGCATCGGCCACAGGACCAAAATGTTCGACGCGATGACTGGTCAGATTTTACACTAAAATCATCATCACACCCTCTAGGTAACTCTTATTTAGGTGGCCTTCTGTTAGGTCAGCAGGAACCCGATTAGATCCCGTTTGATCTTTACAAAGATCCTAGGAGGTAGGTATTCCTTATTCCAGTGTCACAGTTGGAGTAATACAGCCAAAAGGTTGAATGGTTTGCATTAGATCCAGAACTAGAAAATGGGTTTGGATTTGAACCCAAGTGGTCTGAATTCAGACTTGTATTCACAACGATGGCCTGATGATGTGTTAAAGACCACAGGGATTTGGCTCAATTGCAGCAAATTCCATGTTGTTCTTGTCTAATAATAACTTCAATTCGTTTTTATCATTGTAAAAACATGTCACTTACCGTTTATGGCTGAATTCAGTGCCATTCTGTACATTTAGAATGTTGTGCAACCATCCCCCTATCTAGTTCCAAAAATTTTCATCACCCAAGATGGAAACCACATACCCATTGGCAGTCAGTCACTTCTCATTTATCCCTCTCTCAGCCCCCAAAAAACTCTAATCTGCTTTCTCTCTCGATGAATTTGCCTTTTCTGGATATTTCATATAAATACGGTCAATATATGGGCCTTTGTCTTAATTTACCATGTTTTCAAGGTTCATCCATGATGTAGTGTGTAACACCATTTCTTTTTATGGGTGAATACTAGTCCATTGTTTGGATATACCATCAATATCTGTTTCTGTATATTGGGTGTGAGTTCATATTTGAGTTCACCTTGAAATCATAGGTGCCCATCCAAGCTGAGGTTATAGGCAGACAGCTGGAAAGGTGAAAATTAAGAATTTATCAATCTCACCATTATTGACATTTTGGGCCAGATTCTTGATTGGGGGGGAGAGGATGAGGATTGTCCTGTGCATTAGAGGATCTTTAGCAGCATTCCTGGGGCCCACCCACTAGATGCCAGTAGCAACCTCCACCAGCTGTGACAATGAAAATGTCTTCAGGTATAGCCAGATGCTCCCTGGTTGAGAATCACCGGTCTGTATTCAAACATAGAGGGTTTTGTTTCTCTTCCTCTTTTAGTTAGGATACGAAAGGATTCGAAAGGATTCTTTTGCACATAACAACCTGTTCTTGCATTTATGTGTGAAGTAATCCATGCTAAATTGTATTTCAGGGTTGAAAAATACCGGCCACAGACACTGGGCGATCTCATTTCTCATCAGGACATTTTGAGTACCAGTAAGCATCCACGTCATCCTAGTTTCTTGGTGGTGTTGTCTCTGCCGAGCAAGCACTTGGAAGAGGCTCGCTGAGCTTTATGGGAGGAAGAGGCTCGCTGAGCTTTATGGGAGGTTGCTGTAAGCATGGGGTCCTTCGGGTCTTTTATTCCCGCCTCTGCCTCTGCTTAAACGTGAGGTGGCAGTACCTTCCACCCACCTCGAGGGCCCACAGTGAGTGCGGCTCTCAGAAACTGATGGAGTCTCTTTCTCCCCAACCCTCAGTTCAGAAGTTTATCAGTGAAGACCGACTGCCACACCTGCTTCTCTACGGTCCTCCGGGGACCGGAAAGACGTCCACCATCCTGGCCTGTGCCAAACAGCTGTACAAAGATAAAGAGTTCGGCTCCATGGTCTTGGAGGTAAACGGGGTTGTTTTTAGTTGACAACGGACTCCAGTCTCTCTCGGTTCTGCTGCCTCTGTTTTAGTTCACAAGGAAGTTGTCCTACTGGTTGGGAAAGAAGCAGACATAGGATAGGCCAACTCACTTTTTTCTATAATTGACATTTTGGTCTGGATTGGCATTAGCGAGAAGGCAGTTGTAGGGCTCGGTTCCTTCCTTGTTATTGCCAACTTGTACCACATGCTCCGTGGTCACTCAGTTGCTGGCTGCCTCCGTGTGCCCCTCCATGTGCCCCTCCAGGTTGCTGCTATGGGTTCTTGTCCGGATAGCTGAACTGTATGGGCTACAAGCTCCCTTACCCTCTGTCTCCTGATTAGGCCTGGCCAATAGGGGTCCTGGCAGAAGTGGGGGAGGGGAGGAGAACGATGCCTGGGAGCCACCATGGGCTGACAGCATCCCCCTCTACAGGGCACGTCGCACTGCCTTCTCAGGTGGCATCACCATGACCTCACCGACCCCCTAAGACCTGGGGGGGTACGGGCCCCGGCAGTCCCTGGCCTGCTGCATAGCCCTGAGGTTTCCCCACACCCACCAATACCTCTTACAATATGTCTTCATGTGATTCTCTTCAAAGCACCGAATTTGAGGAAGCCACCTCTTCACTGCTGGACTTGACTAATACGCTTAGATTACAACATTCTAAACATTGTTGATTGCCAAAAAACATTGTTTTTTTTGTTCGAGATCTTAGAACCTCGCTGCCACACCTGTTCTCACCTCAATGTGTTAAGACACTTGGTAACTTCTGGGTTGCTCTAGGTTGTGGTAGCTAACGTTAGCATCATCCTGCTCGGGTCAGAGGTCACTGAGACCAGGCCACTTAGCTATTCTTCCAGAGTTTGCCAAGGATTGTCCTCAGAGGGGAGAGGAAAGTCAGTCTTTTGCCTTTCAGACTGAAAGATCAATCTCGTGAGCTAGGAGTTTTCATACAAACGTGACCTTGTTTTTTGAATAGTGATTATCTCTTAGCTGTCATTAGACTTGGAGACCTAGCTTGCTCAGCTAGATTGATGAAAAGGTACCTTAATTCATAAGTCATCCACCAAAGAAATGTTTTTTATTTATTCTGGCTTCTCTCTTCCACACTTAGCTGAATGCTTCGGACGACAGAGGAATAGACATCGTTCGGGGACCAATCCTGAGCTTTGCTAGCACAAGGACAATATTTAAGTAAGAAATATTTGCATAATTTCTCTCCCCCGAGATTTTGATCAGTGAGATTATACAGCTGATTTTTTTTTTTTTTTTTTTTTTTTTTTTTTTTTAGCTTCCTCTTGCCAGTTTATAGAAGTAGGGGGAAATGACTGCCAAAAACAGCCATGAAAAGGAGATAAAGTACAGGGGTGGTGGTAAAAAAAAAAGAAAAAAAAAAGTTAAAATGCAAATATTGAAATAAAATGTTATCTAAGTCTGTATTAGCAAGTTCTTGGGGGAAGCATTAACTTCATTTTATTAGTTAACTGAGGACCTGTTCCACTTTTAGCCTGCATGAGCTAGTTTGAATTTAGACAAAAATGGATCTGAGATCAGAATGAATAAGTAGGATGATGGCTAAAATAAAAAAGATAAAAAGACAGGCATGAGTGAAGGAGGCGGGGGAAAAGCACTAGAGTGATGGGATACTGTGCGAAAGAAAGATGAAGGTGCCGGAGGTCGAAACACACACACACACACACACACACACACACACACACACACACGATGGACCTCAGTTCCCTTAAGAGCTGAAGGAGCGATGGGGCGTTTCCTCTGGGACCACAGGGAGGGAGAGTTCTGGGAGAAATGGCCGGAATCTCGGCCTGATGGCACACGGTGACTGAAGCGGTTTGGGTCTGAAGCGGAAGGGAGAGTGCAATCTCTACGTGGTGCCATTTGTCTTCCCAGGAAAGGCTTCAAGCTGGTGATCCTGGATGAGGCGGATGCTATGACTCAGGACGCCCAGAACGCCCTGCGGAGAGGTGAGCGGGGCGAAGTCCGGCGTGTTGGCTGATGAGCACTTCCGGAGAATTGGGAGCCTCGGGCATAAGATATGGCGTGGGTCTTTGCCATTTTCCTTCCTTTCTGGCCCAGAGAAATCTCTGCATACCTTTCTCCATGTGTCCCACCTGACGGTCTAGCCAAATCTCTCCATGTGGGGGGTTTCCCCTTTCCACAGCTTCAAGACACAGGCCCTGTTGGGATTCGTGGGGTCTCATTCTCCTTTTCAGCTGGCTTCAATTTAAGGATTGGGGATTTTGTATCATTTGATGGAAAGTCTTTCATCCCTAAATTGCTGGATGGGCATTCTGTTGTTGGTACCCTTAGATACAAAAATAGCCAGGAAAATTCCAGAAATTTCATCGCTCAGAAAGCTGACATTACTTCGCTCCTTGCCAATAAATGACTTGGCAGGGAAGGGAGAGTGTCCTGTGGGTTGTCTGTCTGAAGGGGCTGAGGGCAGCTCATTTCTGTGAAAGGACACTGGTCCTCTCACTGAGATCCAGAGGTGCTCACTCAGAGGAAAGGCTGACCGTTAGGCGTTTGGGGGGGGAGGAGAGGCTGGGGAGGGGGAGAAAGGCGGATGATCTGGTTCTGGAGCGTTGGCACTCTTTCTCTGGCATCTAGTTCTGCAGAGTGACTGTCCGTCTGGACAGATCCTGTGCAGCAGCATTGGGTACCTCCCCAGAGAAGCTGGTGCCATAAGCATCTCAGAATTCGGGTTCTTCTCCCGACAATGCTCTCAGGCTTTGAGACACGGTCCACCGGAAAGTGCAAAAAGCCACCGCCTCCCCGCCTAGTAGAAGGTGGAGCATCGACCTGCCAAATGGAGTTGTATTCCAAGGGCAGGAACACCGGCTTTCCTGTCTTAATGGGATGGGATGGCGACAGCACAGGAATCATGGTGCATCTTAAAAAAAGAAGCGTTTTGTAAAGCCTGTGGGAAGACTTGTCAGTCAGATTTTGGAAAGAGAGTGGGTGATTTTCAGTCCTGACCATCCGTGACACCCTCTTGTTCCTGCAGCATCCTCCTTTGTTTGCATTCTTGAATTCTTGTTCCATTCCTGTTCGCTGCACCATTCCTGTGACATTCCGTATTTCTGGGTTCTCTTCCTTTGCCAGTGATCGAGAAATTTACTGAAAATACCAGATTTTGCCTCATCTGTAACTATCTGTCAAAGATCATCCCCGCTCTGCAGTCGCGGTGTACAAGGTTCCGATTCGGTCCCCTGACCCCTGAGCTCATGGTCCCACGCCTGGAACACGTCATAGAAGAGGAGAAGTGAGTATATGGCGAAGCAGGAAAGGAGGGGGTCTCGGGAACGGAGTGTGGGGTAAGGTGGTGTTTGTAACGGCTTCGCCGAGTCTGGGTCTGTTGGCAGCATGTCCAGGACATTGTTCATGAAAGTCATTTGGTTCTTCTCCCGACTCCATCCTCCTCCCTGGAAGCGGTCCCAGTTTCCTCCTCCTCCTTTGTCATTGGAAACCGCACGCTGCCAAGTCGCTTCTGCTGAGATGCCTTCGCCTTGTCTGACTGGAAGGGAAGGTCCTGGGATAATACATTCTGTGTAATCAGATGCCGAGCGAGAAACCAAGCAGAGTGCTGCTTATGTGAAAGGTGCTTTGACTCTGTGATCACACCTCTCCGTGCTCTTCCCTCCCCCGGAAGCACGGTCACAGCCAGCTATTTACACAGTGGTGCCTGGCCCTCCGTTAGGGTCACTCTGGACTGTGAGTGGGCCGTGACTACTGACGTGAAGCCGTCGCCCCGAAATACCAGAGTGAATTCTAGATCCTATAGATCAGGAGGGTAGCGAACTCCATCCTCCTTTTTCTTTCGTTATTTCCAAATCTTAATCGTTCCAGGCCATCTCGTTCCTTGGGGAATGCCTGGGCTCTCAGGGGCCTCAGCTCTGCCTGTTTCCTTTCAGAGTGGATGTAAGTGAAGATGGAATGAAAGCACTTATAACTCTCTCCAGCGGAGATATGCGACGGGCTCTGAACATTTTGCAGGTACGGTGCTCCTCGTAGCAAATCTCAAGTTGTGGCTTCGGAATAATTTTTCAAGAAATACATAAGCAATAGTACAAGCCAATCTGTAAATTCAGAAATCTAGAACTGGGAAGACCTTGACCTCCTAATGTGTTTTGATTAATTGGAAGAATAATTTGTTGCAAACAAGGGAAAGATGGGTTAGGATTCTGCAGCTGTAACAGCCAGCAAGCTACAGCACCCTCCCTGGGCCTTTACCGGGGTGAGCAGGATTCCAGCTCCTGCGCCGTGTGGTACTGCTGCCCACCTGCATGCTGCCTCAGCTGTTTCCTCCCCACCTCCCTGCAACGTGGCAGCGGCTGTGGCAGCCACCCCGATCCTCTCCCTGATCCTCTCCCTTCCTCTCCCTGCCTGCGCAGAGCACCAGCATGGCCTTTGGGAAGGTGACCGAGGAGACTGTCTACACCTGCACGGGGCACCCGCTCAAGTCAGACATCGCCAACATCCTGGACTGGATGTTGAATCAGGACTTCACCACGGCCTACAGAAGTATCCTTTCTCACGTCCTGCCAACAGCTTTCAGTTCCCAAGGCCTGAACTTTGACCCCAGGAGCTACAGCCAGCACCTCCCCCGTCTGGCAAGACAGTTAGCCATGTGGGAGACTGCTCAGCTTGTAAGATGTAGGAGTGAGACGGCGTGGGTGGAGTGGATACGTGTGTAATGCCCCGAGTTCTTCCTGGGTACCCAGGAGCCACCTCACCCCCAGATGGAGAGATGCCGCTGGACCGTGGTGGGAACTGCAGTCATTTTCAAGGAGTCGGTTCATCTTGTCTTTCTGAGAAAGGAAAAGCTGGGTGCAGGGACATGAAGCCACCGGGGGAGAGCATTTGGTTCTGTTCTCTCCTAGACAGCTGCCACCACTGCGTCTTTTAGAAAGCCTTACTGAAGAGGGAAATGAGAAAAGAATTGGGGTTCATGTGCAGTTTCACATCGAAACTGTACTGAGATTAGCTCTACTTTCTAAAGTCGCTCACGAAGGTGTGGATTCAAAATTATCCGCAGCACATTTGTTCTGGAACTTTCCCCTTTGCCTTAACTGCTCCTCTCTAGATATCATGGAGCTGAAGACTCTGAAGGGGCTGGCGTTACATGACATCCTGACGGAGATACACTTGTTTGTGCACAGAGGTAACACATTCTCCAGTTAGAAGCCGTCAGAAGGGGCGTGTCTATGGTTAAGGGTGATTAGAGAAGGAAGTCGAGGCTTCATTTTTGAAGCAGAAACAGGAATGAATTATAAACCGAACCCCTCATCTTTAGTGTTGTCTTGTTGCTTAGAACTTCATTCTGAAAACACTCTGAACCCCTAGAGCAGCTGGGGAGAGTGGACACTCCTGAGGGCTAAAACTTAATTTCCTCCCGGGGTTTGTGTTGTGCACAGCAAGGGGTATGTTTTAATTCACATTTCAAAAGTAACATTTTCCCCAAAAGGAGAGGGAGAAGGAAGATCTATTTTCACATAAACCAAAACAGTCTTAATTAAACCATCTTAGGTTCCACACGAGGTTGTAGCGTCTATAACAGACTTGCTTCTCCGCACGGAATCACCCCAGGCCAAGCAGTTGGCCTCTGGGGAGAGCCAGGTGATGGGCTGGGCAGCCTTTTGGATGAGCTCTTTCCTCTACAGCAGCCAGCTGCGCTGCCGGCCGGGCCCATGAGTGCTGCTTCTCCGGCGCCTTTACGGGCCTTTCTGGCTGGCTGGCATGTTAGCTTCTGCCCAAGAACATGGTTGGCTCAAGCCCAGCTCTGCACTTTGAAAACTGAGCATAAATTGACTTTAAAAAAATCAATAGTTTGTTTTTAAAATTGGGAGAGGAAGCGAGACCAGCTTTTACCTTAACTTATAGAGCCACCCATTTGCTAAAAGAGCCATGTTGGTTACTCCTCCCTGTCCTGATCACTCTGGAATCCGGCGGGGTGGGGCGGGGAGGGGCTGAGGGTGAAGAAATGGAGGGGATGAAAACTTGTTACTTCCTTAGAGGTGTGGTATCTAGTGCTGTGAGGCAGAAAGGAAGGTGTTATCAACCTGATCTTTAAACAAGCACTTGTCTTCTACAGAGTGACAGGCTCATTCATTAGATTGTGTTTTTCCCCAGTTGACTTTCCATCTTCAGTTCGAATACACTTATTGACCAAAATGGCAGACATTGAGTGAGTATTTACTTCCCAATTTTAATGCTCTTCCTTCTTTTTCCCCTGTTGTGGTTTGTTTCTATTAGCTTGGTTCCAAATGTTTTGTCTAAATCATTCCTGTACAAGTATGACCCAGTTTTTGGTGGGATTATTGAATGAAAGATGGGGAAGGGTGTGAGATGCTCATTCTCAGAACATGAGTACACACAAGGACAGGTATGACTCAGTCACATACTTAAGATAAAGACCTCAGAGGCTGGTCTGCACTGGCTCTGCTAATGCTTTGTTATTTGGGAGCCTGCTCTGTGCAGATCTCCAGCTGTGAAGCCTGTGTACACAGCATCCTGGCAGGGAGTAAGCAAACTCCATTTTCTACTTTGCCCTGTTCAGTGAGCAGTTACTAGCTCCCAGTGAAGCTGGCCGCTGTCATTTAAATAGACAAAAGCGTTGGTTTCAGCATCAGACTGTTAGCGTAGGCCAACTCTCATCTGCCCTCATTGGCTTGTGAATGCACAAATTGGGTGACTTATCAGTACTTGTGAATATGATCTTGCTTTCAATGGCTTAACCACTTAAAAGGTGACAAGATGAGACCTCGCCAGTTTGGCTCAGTGGATAGAGTATTGGCCTGCAGACTAAAGGGTCCCAAGTTCAATTCCAGCCAAGGGCACATGCCTGGGTTGTAGGCTCAATCACCCCCAGTAGGGAACGTGCAGAGGCAGCCAATCAGTGATTCTCTCTCATCATTGATGTTTCTATCTCTCTCCTCTCTGAAATCAGTATATATACATTTAAAAAGATAAAAATAAAAGGTGGGAAGGTGAAATAGCAGTGTCCTGCTTGCTGACCACACCCCAGAACCACAGGCGTGTCAGCCACACTTCTCAGTGAATTAAGAGGAAGGAAATCTTCATTATAACTCCTCAGTGCATTTTGTAGGTGAAGAAATAACCCTTAACCACATGAACTCTGCATATCTTTAGAGAGCTAAAACAAAGTGAGGTTCAAAACATTGCTAACCATTTTTTAGACTTAATTTTTCCTTCAAATTGGTGAGGGAAAATGATGGTGTTGAGGACAGAGGAGTGTAGAAGACACATACAGGGCTGCCATCCAGGATGAATCCTCATTGCCTCTTAGCCGCCTTCAGATGCTCCGTCTTTGATCTTTTTTCTTGTCGGAGGGCTCCTCTGTGGTATTCTCTGTGCTCACCTTTTGGTTTCCTTTAGGTACAGACTGTCTGTGGGCACCAACGAGAAGATCCAGCTGAGCTCCCTCATTGCAGCTTTTCAGGTTACCAGAGACCTGATTGTCTCCGAGGCCTAGGCTCTGAGGACCATTTGCTGGTCTCAGGCCCAGCAGCGACTAGAGAACAGGGGCCTTGGTTACGAGACGAACTGCTGCCCGCGTCAGGGGATGAAGGCGGTCACCCAAGACAACTGTAAGGCTTTCCCCTCTAGCTGCTTGGATGACAGGACGCTAGCCTACTCCCGGTCACTTTGGACTCTAAGGCTTTCAGATCCAACATGGCCCATGTGTCTTCCAACTCAAGATAAAAACAGAACATCTCCAAAATCACGTACAGTCCGTGGTGCTGTCTCTGCTTCAAGAGCAGATGTGAACAGATTTCTGGCCCAAACTGTTACACTCATAAAATGGACTCAATTCTCTTCCTTTCAAAACTGGTCTTTTTATTTCTCCTCTTGAAGCAAAGGACTTACTAGCAGGTTCCTAATTGTGGGTGGACAGTAGAGAAAACTTTCATTTTTATGCCATCAGGGGCCAGAAGTTGTATAATATTTGCGTACTGACTGCAGGGGGCGGGGGAAGAGGAGGGGGCACAAGATTGAGCCTGACTACCCCTGCCGCTGGGAAGGACAGGCCTGGTGCACGGGTGGCCGCTCACTACAGCAGTCAGTGCTGCACTCATCCCTCGTCAGATTAAAATAAAGCAGCTTTCTTGTTGGTTGTGTTACAGTGACTTCTTTCCTTAGTTACAAAGACACTGACTTATTCAACTTGTATCTGTGTGAACTTTCACCTCTGATACCACAGCTTCAGAGGCTGTTTTTTTAAAAGGGAGAAGTCGGTTTTCCCATCACTCCGTGGGACTCGCTCCCTGAGGATGCCAGCAGTGTTGGAAGCGAATGGCTACATGGGGCCTCAAGGAAGCCACTGAGCCTCCCAGACCACACTATTCGCAATTTTGCAAAATAACCTCAAAATTAAAAACTTGCCCAGGCCATTCCCGGCAGTCCTGCTGCACTCACTTATCTTAAAGTAGACTTCTTTCCCTAATGCAAGAAATGAAACAGACAGCCAAAGCTTTTAACTCTTTCCCTCCATGAGTCTCTCATCTTGAAATGTTTTCTTCAGCAACCAAGGCGGTAGAGGAGAGATTTCTCTCCTTTTTCGACACATTTCATATTACCCTGGCCTCCATAACGCACTTTGTAAGAAAGCCAAAGGATAAAATGTTGCATTTCTTTCAAAATTATTTAAAATATATTAAATTTTCCAAAGGCAGATTATGTTTGAAAGAGGTGTCCTGACTAGACAGCTACATCGCTGGAGGAAGATAGAACCTAAGGAGCTGTGCGTGTGGAGGGGTAGAGCTGAAACTGGCTCACAAGTCCAATAAAGAGAAGCAGCAGTTAGACCTCGTACATAAGAATGTCGGCTGAAGTGATGACACCACCAGCGCTTCACACAATTAAGGAGACATCTTCACAACTGTTCGACTTCAGTACTATGGTTTTTAGATATCAAGAAAAACACAATTGTACCTTAACATCTGTTCAGAAAATACAAATAAATATGCTAATGAAAGGCAAACAACCAATAGCTCAGCCATCGTTAACAGTCATGCAGTTTAGGAGTAAATCCCGTGTAACCAGGCATATAAGTTTGTCATCTGCACATGCACACCATTGTTTAAAAAAAAAAGAAAAAGCCAATTATAGTGTGTTAGTCAGGGGCACAGCCTGAGTCACCTGTAATTTGGTTAATACCTCACACCAGAGCCTACTCCATGAAAACTGCCCGCTGCTCAGAGAGAAGCTAGAGGAAGGAGAGACTCGCCAACATCGACTGACACACGAGGAGAGAAGCTGAACAGCCTGGCGAGGCAGGAGCCACACCTCCCAGCACAGGGGCTGAAACCCCTCGGCCACTACAGAGGCTGGCGAGGCCTAGAACTCTTCTTACCAAAACGTCATTATCTGCACTTTGAATCAAACTACCAGAGAGAATTCTAGACTGTTTTCTCAGCGGGCTGGAGATTTCAGATAAGGCTCTGGCCACGAAAGTGGAGTCCCCTCTATAACTGGCGGTCATTTGTCATAGGGAGAAGAGCCACTGGAATCTGGTTTTGCTGCATTCTGTTCACAATCCCCAAGAGAAACTGTCCATCCAAGACCAGGCGTTTGGCCCATAATCCCAGCTGCTCCTCCGCCAGGGAGCTGTATCTGCCACAGAGAAAACACGCGAGACCAGGCGTGTTTGCGGCGTTGCTTACAAAGTCCTGTACGTGAGGAACTCTTTCATTTTCTTGGGGATTGGCAGTGCCAGCACTTGGTAGGTGGTGAGGAAACTCCGGAGGGCTTTCCGGCATAAGTGCTTCAGTGACGACAGGACCCGAGGAGCTGTCCAGAACTGGACGTGGCCGTCCCTTGTCCTGAAACAAAACAGAAGCCATGCATTCGGACAGGCTTTGGGAATACCTGTTTCCACTGTGCCGGATGCTAATGTTTCTACTCTGACTGCACTAGCAGGAGCCTCCGGAGAGTGAAACGGAACCCTGGCTGCTGAAATGGATGTAAAAGCTGTGCTGCTGAATAATTAAGGCTGCTACCTACGAGGATTATAAGAACTCCAGATACCTCTGCCACCCAAGTGCTCTCTCTGCCAGCACAGCCTTGCTCAGTCATCCTGTGAGTCCAACAGAAGGACGGACGCCACCTACTGAATTACAGACGGTCCCTGAAAGCTGGTCTCTGCCGGGAAGGGTTTCCATGTAAATTCTGCATCACGCGTTGTCATGAATTGTAACTCTAATTACACTGAGATTAAGTATTAACAAATGATTAAGTATTGGCAGAATAGGTTATTAGAGATCTTGAATTTCCTTAAAGCCTTCCTCGCAGGCAGGAAAATTCTAAATGCTTTCTTTTTGCCTGGTATACTCAGCAGAGACTGCTGCCCATCTGGTCCGCTAGCAGATACGTACCCGGTGGCAATGACTCCACCGTGTGGAAAGAATGTGCAGCAAAGACCATTGGTCATAGGAGCAAATGCAATTGGAGTTTTCAGTTCCAGGGCCCAGATCCTGAGGAGCCTGGATGAGAAGGAAAAGCACGTTTGCACGTTAGCAAACCGGGGCCAGACGCCTGGGGAACGCTGCAATGACGCTCGAGCGAGCCCCTTGTTACCTGTCATCCGCCACCGTGGCCAGGTACAAGCCCTCTGGCGAGAAGCACACAGACCTCAGGGAGCTGATGTGGACGTCACTGTCATCCATGGGGGGCTCGAGCTGGGTGTGGCTGAGGAGAAAGAAACGGGACAGTGAGGGGTGATGGCCACCCCTCACCCTTCACCTTCATCCCCAGCAGGAGGCCAAACTACCTGGCTATGAAAAGGCTCAGGACGCATCTTGTGCCCCATATGGAAAACCTTGGGACTTGCAGACTAGAAGAGAAGACTGGAGAGAAGTGCATTTACTAAGGCTCCGAGTGGCTGCAGAGGGGGCTGAAAAGCTGTGCCAGTTTCCTTATGCAAAGTAGGTCAGCCCTCACTTGAATGCCACGGACACACCGAAAGTCTTTTTTAGGCTAAGATACATGATAATTATAGGCCTACCTATAATTCGCTTCATAAAACAACAGAGATAAAGGAGAAAAATAGACCAGATTTGTGAGAACATGAAAATTCATTATGGAAATAGCAGTTTCGATAAAAGGACCGTTCTGAACTTGTTACTACAGTTATTAGTAAATGGAAAAAGAGAGTCACTTTGAGGTTTCTTAATGCTGAATCCAAAGTAGAGTCTCACTTAGCAGGAGAACTGAAGGCACTTGGGTCTAATTTCAGAACTTAATTGACAAGAAAGCACTACTGTACACCAGCCTTAGAATAACCACTGAATCCGTGTCTTTTACCCAGGATGCCCCTCCCGTGCCCCAACTCTAAAAGGGACTTGTCTCATCCAAGGCAGGCTTCTCGTCAGTCACCCCACAAGGAAGCCGTAAGCAGGGGTCCGGGTCCTTACTGGAGTGACCTCAGCCGCTCGCCAGTGTAAGGGTCCCACATGATCACGTTGGTGTCGTAAGAAGCCGTCACAAGCAAGGCGGAGTCCGGGGAGAAGTCACAGGAGACAACACTGCTTTGGTGGCCCTCTAGCTTCCGGATTAACGTGTAGGACCGCATGCTCCAGAGGAAGACCTGTGGAAAGCGACAGGGGCCTGATTAGGGGCGGGAACAGTATGAGAATGTGAGCAGTGCCCACGTCAGGCCTCATGGCCGAGGAAGCCACGTTCCCCACCCGTTTCTCTAGCTCTTCCAGAATGTGTCACAGAGGCTTACATAAAGTGATAGCTCCGCTTCTCACGGTGCCTAGCCCACAGACATGCTGGAGGAGTGAGCCTTAAGGAGAGCAAACCGGGCCACCTCAGGGAGACTGCCAGCAACGGGTCAGGAAAAGCGACCGAGTTCCGCTCCTGAGCGCTGTCTGCAAACACGCAGTCCGGGTGGAGGGAGACCTCAGCCCCATGCCAGCTGTCCTTGCATTTACTACCAAAAGCGGGGCCAGAGTGAACTCCAGGCCTGCCCACGCCTGCAGCTGCCACATCGTTTACACCCTCTGTGCTCACAGGACCATGGAAACCGGCCCCCACCACTGCACATCGGACACAGCTCATCACTTTACACCTTCCCGACAATCATTATAAATAGGGTTTTATTTTCTTTCCTTTAAGAAAACTCGCACTTTCACATAGTTCCAGACCTCGAATGAATGATTAACCACCTTGGCCGCACCAAATAGTGAATTCTTAACTTCCCCGGGTCAACCACAGCAAACCGCTCCACGCAAAACTATCCCCAAAGTATCCCTGGGTTTCCAATGCTTCTTTAAAATAACAGGCAGGATGGCAGGGCGAAGTTCAATAAGTAGCTGTACATTTTATAATCTGGAGTGAAAATCCTAATTGGGTTGCTATAAACTACATGGTTCAAAGGAAATCTGGACCCATACATGGGTTGCAACTTTTAAAATCGTAAACTCTCTGAGGGGAAAAGAAACTTAAAAAGCACCCCTTTTCCATTTGTAAAGACAAACAGGCCTCCAATGAAGGTGGCGATCTACATCAACTTACCTCCTCTTCTGGCTCATGTCGAAGTGCAAATGGAAAGGGCGGTATGCAGGAGGCAGGGTTTGAGACACCATCTCACGCACAAGGTGGCTACAAACCGCCAGGTCTTGCTGAACTAACACAACAGAGGAAATGGCACCCGATGTGTGAGACTTACCGACTTTTCTCCAGCCGCAGAGCAGAGCATGCTGCAGTCCGGGGAGATGGAGCAGCAGTACACCCACTGCAGATGGCCCGACAACACCTGAATCTGCTTACCTGGCAGACAGAGGGCAGACAGTGAGCTTCTCAAACCATGAGCAGGAAGACTGAGGAAGGGCGTGATGGGCCGCCCACCCAGCTATCAACTGAGTGCCACCACCCACTTTTTAATGCAGAGAAAGAAGTATGACAAAACCTGTCATTTAATACCTGCAATCTATTCATATAATATTCTAACACCCAAAGGAAATCACTCCCCGTTACACCAAACCACGGGATCATCAGGATAAACGGTGTACACAGATGAGGTCCGAGAGATCCCTTTGATAGCAAAGCACATTCTTTTCCTGTCCCCCACCACCTCTATTATACTTGGAAGCATCCTTCCAAATCTGAGTGTACCTTACTTCTCTCTGTGATGGTTTCCCCTCCTCACAAGGTTCCCACTCCACATCCTCCCCCTTCCCTGAATGAATGAGGCGAACGTGGGCTTGCACCTGGCTCCACTGTGCACTTAGCACACAATCCTGAACTTCTCATGTAATCTCTCCAGGTTTCAGTTTTTGAAAAAAACAAAATGCTCATCCATAGGGAAATGAGTGAATAAAGAGTGTAATAGGAGCCCAAACCGGTTTGGCTCAGTTGATAGAGCGTCGGCCTGCAAACTCAAGGGTCACAGGTTCAATTCCGGTCAAGGGCATGTACCTTAGTTGCGGGCACATCCCCAGTAGGGGGTGTGCAGGAGGCAGCTGATCAATATTTCTCTCTCATCAATGTTTCTAACTCTCTATCCCTCTCTCTTTCTTTCTGTAAAAAATAAATAAAATATATTAATAAAAAAATTTAAAAAGGAGTATAACAGGTAGATCCACCCTGTTAATTCCTATTAAATTAAGAATCTAGATTTCCCATGAGTATCTTTAATGGAAAAACAAGATTCAGAAAAAAATGTGAAGACTACGATTTCATTCTTGTGAAACATGACTCCAAAACCCATAAATGTAAGAGTGTGATTGTCCGAATAGGATCATACAAGTGTAAGCAAAACATGGAAAGAAATATGGAAGATTTAGCATGGGTTACACAAGATTACAGGGGGATTATGGAGGAATTCAACAGATAGGACAATTAGAGAGATGGCAAGGCTGGCATGGGCAGGAATCAAGCCAAAAAAAAAAAAAAAAAAAAAAAACTTAAGCAATTTTTGTTTTGTTTTGTTAATCCTCACCTGAGGATATTTTTTCCATTGCTTTTCAGAGAGAGTGGAAGGGAAAGAGAATAGAGGGGAAGAGAGAAACATTGATTTTGAGAGAGTCACATGGACTGGTTCCCTCCCACATGTGTCCCGACTCCTAATCAGGGGCAGGGAGCAAACCAACAACCCAAGTATGTGATCTTGACCAGGAATCAAACCTAAGACCTGCCAGTATTCAGGCCAATGCTCTAACCACTGAAAACCCCAGCCAGAGCAGGGAAAAAAATGGGTATGGGTGTGTGTGTGTGTGTGTGTGTGTGTGTGTGTGTGTGTGTGTGTGTAATTTTAAGAATATATATGGTTGTCAAAGAAACATATCGATTAGACCATTAAATTTTAGAGGGAAGGTAGGAGAGGGTGGGGGTAAGGGGGAGAGATCAACCAAAGGACTTGTATGCGTCCATATGAGCCTAACCAATGGACACAGACAACAAGGGGGTGAGGGCATGAGGGGGGAAGGGTTGAGGGGGTAATGGGGGAATAAGGACACATATGTAACACCATAATCAATAAAGAAATTTAAACACACACACACACCAAAAAAAAAAGTATATATGGTCATTTATAAATTTATGGATGTGGATAAATATATATTTTTCAAAGTCAGTCATGGTTTCTCATCTATCAAACAAGAACAGCACACCTGCCCGGAGGTAGTGAGTGTTGAATAAATTAAGGCACGTCATATAGGGCAGGGCCCAATATCTGGGAACCTGCATTTCCCCTCCTCTTTGAAAAGCCCTAATAACTGTTCTGGTCCATTCTGCCCACTGTGTCATGCAGCTTCCCAACCACCACGTGACTTTCAAAGCCCCTTCAAGAACCTTCCTTCAATGGTGGCAAGCTGCCTCTGGGCACAACAGCAATGGCACTGCCTTTGAATGACCCTCCCGGTCAGCAGGCCGGCTTGGACTGTGTGACCGAGTCCCACGGGAACGGGAAGGAACCGTACAGAGTTTTCTTAGTGACCAGGGGCCTCAGGTGAGGAAAGGACAAGCACCGTCTCGGCTGCCTGGACAGATGACTGGGCTCCTTTCCAAGAGGGAAGCAGACAGGGCCTTCCCACGGTCTGGGGAACAGCCGTGGCTTTGCATGATCAGGGTGAGTGTGTCTCTTCAGGAACTGCCCGCATCACCACTTCCTCTCGCCACCTCCCTCCAGCCTCCGAAATGACCTGGGTGGGCAGCGGAAAATTCCCCTTCCCTCAGTCACTTTCCAGTCTGAGCATCAACACCAGAGACGGTGGAACTCTTTGTTGGGCTGCTCCTCTATCTAGTTCTGTTCAAGGCAGAACTTATAAAAGCTGCCCCCCACGAGCCTGAGAGGATACTGCTAGACCTCGATTCTACTTCACCAGAAACTTTATTTCTAACAGGAAGTGCCCACAGAGAATGGCTTCCTCTAGATCAGCGGTTCTCAAATGGGGAGACTGTGCCCTCCACAGGGAACGGGCAATGTCTGGGCACATTTTGGTGGTCACGACTGTGTAGGATGCACAGCCCATAACAAAGACGTTGTGCATGTCCAACGTTTGCAGCCCAAAATGTCAGCGATGCAATGGCGAGAAAGGCGTTCTCCATCACGGGATTTTCAATAAAGGCGATAGCAATAATGGCAAAAACTGGTTCTATTGGTTTTTAAAATCTGTTTTTTTCCTTACAGTGTATAAATACGTACTCAATCAATAGACAGATATACAGAATTTAAATCTTCAAGGGATGAGGGGGGAGTGATCAGGAAAGAAGTGTCTGAAAGGGCTCCTAAGAAACAGTAATAGAAGAAAGAAGGAGAAACGCTATTCTGGGTAAGAGTGACACAGGCCCAGTGGGAAGGGCAAACACAGTATTACTGTAGGAGTCCCCGGGAGTCCCGTCACCTCCGTACCATGTTTATTCAGGTCCCAGATGCGCAGAGTCTTGTCCCGAGATGCAGAGACCAGAATCAAGCTGCCACTGGGCGTGAAGCTCAGATCTCTCACAACGTCTTGGTGGCCGGAAAGATTCAAAAGCAGGAGCCCTGGCGGGGCAGCGGGAGCGCTCGGTCAGTGGGAGACGGCACTGGCCTGCCCGCCAGCCGCACCCCCGCCAGCTGGGGGGCTGGGCCCTTCGAGCCGCCCGTGAGGACATGCACAGGAGCCTCCCGGACCTTGTGCCAGCCAGAAACCACCTACCTGTCTGCACCTCCCAAATCTTGATCTGCCCGTCGTTGAGTCCCGTGGCGAGGATCAGGCAGGAGGCGTCCGGCCCCGGGGGGTGGTGGCGCGCCCAGAGCTTCCTGCTGGGTGGACAAGGCCACGGGCTGAAGGCCAGGCCCCAGACAATCTGCCCACAGTCCAGAGTCTTCTCCTTCGGGCTGCCTCGCCCCTTCGGGTCATTTTTGCTGCTCCGGCTTTTGGCTTCGAACTCTTTAGGGATGCTGGGGAAGGAGAGCGTTCTTAATGAGGATGCAACTCACCGGTCTACCCACTTTTCATCCTGGGCATCTAAGGCTTGAAAATCACAGGAACAAACTGGGCCTCGGTGAACTCTGGTGTGACTTTCCTGTTTAGAATCCGGGTAACAGAGGCCTCCCTGGCCTGGGTCAGCCCCTCCGGGACAGCCCTGCCATGGGGGGCTGCCTGGGGGTACAGTCCTCTGGGGTTTCGGCGTGTGAAAGGAAAGCGCACTCGGCTTTTCCCCCGGGAAAGAAGGCACCCTGCAGGTGTGGAGCTAGGACAGCACTGAGCGCCTCACTATCCATCTGCAGCTCTCCTTTGTACACTTCGCTCGGTACACACTGACTTCTGCCTTCACTCGCTATGTTCCAACCAATTAACAAGGCTCTATCATTTACTCCAGCTGGCAGGATAGTCAACGGAGAGAAAGAACCCACAGAGCTACTCAGGACGCACTGAGCACCTGACCCTCTTTTCTCATTCTTCTTCAACACTCGGTCCTAACAAGTGGGCCCCATCACTCCGCTTCGCAGCCAGGATCTCAGAGGAATCACAATTTCAAGTTATACTACAAAGCCACCTAACTCAAAACAGCCTGGTACTGGCATAAGAACAGGTATATAGACCAATGGAACAGAACAGAGAACCCAGCAATTGACCCAAGTCATTATGCTCAATTAATATTTGACAAAAGGAGTCAAGATAGTCTCTTCAATAAATGGTGTTGGGAAAATTGGACAGATACATGCAAAAAAATGAAATTAGATCACCAACTTACACCATACATCAAAATAAATTTAAACTGGGTAAAAGACCAGTTAGATGTGAAACCATAAAAATCCTAGAAAAAACATAGGCAGCAAAATCTCAGACATCTCTTGTAGCAATGTTTACGGATATATCTCCTAGGACAATGGCAATTAAGGAGAAAATAAACAAATGGGACTACATCAAAATAAAGAGCCTCTGCACAACAAAAGAAACCATCAATAAAATAACAAGAATGCCCACTTATTAAGCAATAAACAAAAATAGACTCAGACACATAGAAGCATCAAACAGATTCAAACCTCAGAGGGAAGGCAAGGGAGAGTGGAGGGGGTAAGAGAGAAAGCAATGAACTCATATGCATATATGCATAACCCAGAGACACAGACAATAGAGTAGTAAAGTCTTGGGGGAGAGGTGGGTGGGAGGAAAAAAGGAACATATGTAATACTTTCAACAATAAAGATTAAAAAAATACACACAATCTTTGACAGCTGCTAAAATATATGAAAACTAGGGGCCCAGTGCACGAATTAGAGCACCTTGAAAAGAACTCTGGGCTGCGAGGCTGTGGTGGGCACAGGGTGGCCCATCCTTTGTTCCCCACCCGGCCCCTCCTGCCACAGCCCCCAGTCTCCTGTCTGCTGGCAGCCCCGCTACCACAGCCGCTGCTCCCGTGTGTGGAGCAATTGGGGCCGGTGCCATTGGTGAGTGCGAGTGGCTTGGTGAGTGCAAGTGGCAGCTGCTGCCTTGATGGCCCCTCAGGAGCAGAGGGAGGTGGAGAAGCCCTGAGGGGCGACTGGGGCTGGCAGAGCTGCTCACACCCACTGAGGGCACGGAGTGATAGGGACCAGAGTCCGGTGCCAGCAGTGGTTGCGAGCAGTGGCTCTGGTGCTGGCAGCAATGCCAGGCAGGACCACAATGCATGGAAGCAAGAATTTTCAGTAACCACCAAAGGCTTGCCTGGCGCCCTGCCTTGGTCTGGTGCCCCTGCTCACCTGCTTCACCATCCCACCATGGTTGACACCTACCATGTTCCCCACTTGGCCACCTGCTGCCAACCCCCGCCATGTTCTGTGGTCAGTGCATGTGATACCGACCAGTTGTTTGGTTGTTCCATCATTTGGCCTATTTGCATATTAGGGTTTTATATATATAGATGCCACAATGTCTTTAACCATTCTCATCACCCAATTTGTAGCTATTTCTGATTTTTAACTACTGCATAATTAATTTTATGATGAAAACCAGTGCATGTAAATAGATGAGCCCATTTCTGAGAGTCCTAATCACTGGAAGGACATTTTTAAGGTCTTTGAAGTCTATTGTCAAACAGACTTCCTTCCAGAAAGTGCACAAATTTATCCCCTTAACCCCAATAGGGTACAGAGTACCAATCTCAGCAAACTCTCATCAGCTTTACCTATTATCAAGGCAACATATTTCAGACTAAACTTCTAAAAGACTTGAATCTAATAGACAACTTATAAGAAATGCCTAAAGCAAAACAAATGAAACCCTTAAGGGCACAGGCTATGTTTGATTTATTCAGGATTCTCGCCCCTACCTCAGTTTTAGGAAAAGAAGATTTGCAACCAATGTTGGCTGAATACATAAATGCAGACAGAGTTACCCTGGGACAAATGAAAAAATGCAAATGCTGGGCCACCTGACTGGGGGCACACAGCTTTCTGACACTGGGACCTGTCCAGCCCAAAGAACGAAAAAGATCAGAAACTGAACGTGGTAGATAATGAAAAGATAATACCCGATTTTAAAATGGCAGAGGATCTGAAGAGACAATTCTCCAAAGCAGATATACAAAGGGCCAATAAGCACATGAAAAGATGTTCAACATCAGTACCCATCAAGGAAATGCAAATCGAACCACAATAAGATGCCATTTCATACCAACCAGGATGGCTATGCTATAATCAAAAAGACTGGCAATAGCAAGTGTTGGGGAGGGTGTGAAAAACTTTTTAAACTGGTGGGATTGTAAAATGGTACAGCCACTTTGAAAAAATCTGATAGTTCCTCAAACAGTTAAACACAGAAAACATATAAAATCGTGTTTAGACAGGCCAGTAAGCCAGGACAAACAGAATAGTTAGCTGAACAAAACTAGCAAAGCAATTTACAGCACATACAGAAGGTCACCTTCGTAGAAATAACATCTAGGCCTCAGTTGTATTTCAGCTCCAGGCCAAGAAAAGCAGCAAAACCAGGTGGGCGACAGGACCAGCCACGGTGACTGACAACCCCCAGCCCTAACACGGACCAATCAGTCAAGACCAGGAACCCGGATGGCACACCTAGAAGACGGATGAGTATTCTGTAGAGACCAGCCCAGACCTTCCCGCCTTTGAGAAAGATATAAAGTCTCAAGACAAAGGACCGCTGGTCTAGGAGCACTCCTGCCATTCCCTTCCCCTTCTTCCTCCTCTTCTTCCCACCAGGAGCCTCTCCTACATCCCAAAGACCCACAAGACTTGCACCTGAGGAGCAAAGGGCAGTGGCAGCTCCGTCGTCAGAGGCTAGTCCCCTAGGCCTGGTCCCCAGGCGCCTTCCACTGACTTCCCCTGGAGCTAGGCAGCCCCGCCGAGGCTCTCCTGCTGCTTCCAGTGCTAAGCCCTTTCCTGTGTCACGACCCCAGCTTTACCCAATGTTCCCGCAGTCACCCGGGCTCGTGTGTGAAATCTGTCCTGCGCCGAGAACCGCCAAGGGCCAGGTCCCCTTTCTGGGAACAATATGTCCACACAGAGACTTGTAAGCAATGTCCACAGCAGCATTCTTCATAAAAGTCAGAGGAGAAAACAACCCAAACGTCCACCAATGGATAAATGTATGAACAACATGTGGTTCTCTCCATACAATGGAATATTTGGCAGAAAATAAAGCACTGATACATGCATCATCATAAATGACTGAAAACATTATGTTGTGAACGAAGCCAGTCAAAAATGTCTACGTATTAACTGATGGATATGAAATGTTCAGAATAGGCAAACCTATGACGACAGGAAGATCAGTGGCCACTCAGGGTCGATGAGTAGAGGGGTTTGGAGGGTGCCAGCTTAGGGATGTGGGGTTTCTTTCATGAGTAATGAGAATGTTCTAAGATTAACCATGGTGACAGATACCCTCTAAATGGGCGAATTGTATGGTGGGTAAATTATAGCTCAATGAATCTGTTTTTAAAAAACTGGGGGCTGACATAACCTCGATGGAATCGGTTTTCCCACGTCCTGCATGTGGGGCTCTGGAGCCCGATGAGGGGTTCCCGAACTGTCCCGCCGTGTCCCCTCTCCTGCTCTGGGCAGGGAGACCCAGGGGTGGGCGGCAGTGTGAATAAGCACTCACGTTCCTCGGCACTCGGGCTGCCGGAGTACTTACAACTGCTCCTCCAGCGGCCAGGGGATCAGCTTGACGATGCAGTGTCCTTGAGACCACGCAAACCAGGAGCCATCGGGGGAGAAGGCGACACTCCAGGTTTCACAGCTCGACTTCCAATCGAACTGGTGGGGGCGCCCGGGCTTGAGTTCGGCCAGCAGCAGCGGTTCCTCTGGGACGGGAGAGAGCATGCTTCAGACACGCACTCTCACTGCCCTCCTCACCTCCCTGACTCAGGCGCGAGAGCCACTGTCTCGCCACGAGAGCCACCGTCTCACCAGGCTGGGGCAGGCCCTGGGAGGGAACTGTCCCTTAAGTGACCGGGGCAGTAACAGTAGCCAAAGGCCACATTCCAGCGCGGTTACTCAGCTCTGGCACGCCCCGCTGTTGGTTAACATGACTCAGTAACCTTTGGAAGGGTAACCCCAGTGACCAGAGGCCTCCTTTCCCATGAATGCCTGAAGAGGAAGACAGGAGAGGGCCAGATCAGGACTAGACCAGGCAAGGCTGAGCTAGATGGGGCAGATTAGGAGGCTTTCAAAAGTATTTAAATTCTCTTCAAAAGAACTGGCTCCTGGGAGAAAAGGGTTATCTGAAACTCACTCCCAACCCCGGCCCCGCCCCTGTCCACTCCCACCACCCCACCCCCCATCAAGACTAAAATATAATGTTCAGCCCTTGCCCTGCTTCCTCTTGCTTAGACCAGACTCATGCCCGGAGTAGCGCATGCTCCTTCACAGCTGGACTCCTTTTCTGCTTTGGAGAATCCCACCTAGATTAATAACTGGGAAGCAAACCCTGACCTCACATGATCAGAGCAGAAATAAGTCCCCCTCTGCTTATTTCTTCTCTCCTGTAATATCCAATTCCCCCTCCCACCCCCACCACAAAAGTAAGCATCTTTATTCGCAAACAGCAAGACGAGTTCATCTCTGTCTGCGGGCCCAGTCCAGCACCTTGTGGGGAGTTAGTGACGGAGGGCAGCCCCGGTCACATCTCCTCTCCACGGGGAGACTCAGTGGCTGGTGAAGCTCGTAAGGTAAAGGCCCTCGGAATAGATTTTCTGACCACGATGATGTGTAACGGTGACACATACGAATATAATAACTGGCTTCCCTCCTGCATGAGGTCACTTAGTGATGTGTATGTTCCACTTGAACAGTTCTGAGACTTTGACCCTTTTATAGCTGTTACCAGATAGAAACTAATTTAACACCCATAGTTATATAGTCTAGGACACATCTTTATGTCTTCTCACACTGTGACTGCCATGAAATCAGGGGATGTCTTACAAGTGATGACGTCTCATGGTTATAAGGCAGTGTCTTTTTTCTTAGTGACACACAGGCCAATATGATGCATATCTTGGATTCAATCAAACAGATGGTAAAGGTGCATATATAAGTGCATATAATCATATCAAGGCTTTAGTGGCTTTGCTATTTAAGGAAGTTTCCTTTATATTCATCCCCTGAGGTTCTATATGTAAATCTAGGTTTTAAAATATTAAATCTAAACTGGTGTTCGTACAGGCCCCAGTAATTCCTCCTAGAAATTTGTGTTCGTAGACATTCATTTATACCATCATTTTTTCTGTAGAAGCATATTCCTCTGGATGTGTTAAATGACAAGAATGTTTTACTGTGTGTTTTAAATCCAAAAACAGATCTCTAATGTTATGCAGCAATCCTGCAACAGCTCCTTCCAGATATTTCCTTACGGTGCCACAGCCCTAACCTGTTAGAGCCTCCTACATGTAGCCCAGGGGGTAATTTTACACACATACACACACACACACACACACACACACACACACATCTGGACACGTGGCAATGTCTGGAGACACTTCTGTTGTTATAACTGGGGGGAGGGGGGGTACTGCTATGAAATGGGTGGAAGCCATGGGTGCTGCTAAGCATCCTACAATGCAGAGGTCAGCCCCCACATGAAGAATTTTCCAGCCCAAAATGTCAGCAGTGCCAAGGCTGAGACCCTGTATGTGCACAATACTAAATGACACGGACAATGACAAATCTCATTATTCCATCCGGACTATATTTGTACAGGGTTCACTTCCTCCACATGCACACCAGCCGTCCTGTATGTTGTTTTTTTTTAAAAAAAAGGAGAGCTGTTGCAGGATTGCTGCATAACATTAAGGATTTAAAACATACAGAACCACAGAGGCTCTACATAATAGGAAAAGGGGTCATCCTTGATTTTTCTCTTTTCTTCACCTCCCAATCCAAATCCATTAGCAAGTTCTATCAAATCTGTTTCCAAGAGACTTGACAAACCTAACTCCCCTTCATCTCCATGGCTACTATTCTAATCTATGCAACATCATCATCTCTCACTGAGCAGCCTTCCAACTGCTCTCCTAGTCCCCGCTCCGGGCCCTACCATCCATTCTCCTCACCTTCCGAAGTAATCCGCTTCAATCTCTCTTAAAATGAAATACAAACTCCTCACCCTGGCCTCAAGAGTCCTGCAAAAACTGGCCCTGCCTTGTTTCCCACCTGGGCTTAGAGCTCTCCTCCTGCTCCTGGCTCTCGCATACTAGCTAGCCTTCTCTCACACCTTCTCGGGGCTCCGTTAGTTCCAACCCCAGGGCCTTTGCACCAGTTACTCTCATCCACAGGAATGCCTCCGGGGCTGGTGCCTTATCTCATTTAGGTCTCAGCTTGAATGGTAGCTCCTTAGAGAGGCCTTCTCTGACCTCCCAAGACAGTCTCCTTCACCACCTCTCACTTTTCTTTATTTTTTTTTAGAATTCTATTATTATCATTATTATTATTATTATTATTATTATTTCAGAGAGGAAGGGAGAGGGAAAGAGAGCTAGCATTGATGAGAATCATTGATCGGCTGCCTCTTGCACACCCCCTACTGGGGGTCATGCATGCAACCCGGGCATGTGCCCTTGACTGGAATCGAACCTGGGACCCTTGTCCACAGGCCGATGCTCTATCCACTGAGCAAAATCGGCGAGGGCTTCTCACTTCTTTACAGAACAATCACTAATTTGATTATTAACTATCTTCCCCAACTGGGACATCAACTGCATGGGAGCAGGGACCTTGTATGTGTATCCCCAGTTCCTGGCAGAGTTCCTGGCAGAGAACAGGCAGGCAGTAAATATTTGTTGAACAAATACACATGATATACCTCCTTAAATATAAATAAAATGATGCCCCTAAACTATTATGATGCCTGTGCCAAACATTTCACATGAAATGCTTCTTAAACACGAGCCATTCCCAGATTTCACACTCTATTTCTGTGATTTGAGGATTTAATTCTTGCTATTTTAGGCTCAGGAATCCAGGAGCTAAAAGAAGAAAGAACCCAGTGACTCCTGTCTGTTCTTCAATTCTAGAGCGAAGGAAATTCTGAAGGGGGAGTCTGGGCCCCAACTCCCATTGGCTGCTGGGAAAGAAAGCCGTAATTAGTGCAGAGCTTACAAACCCGCGCCCAGGGGATCCAGCTTCACCTGGGATTGCACCTGCCGTGGCCCTGCTTGGGGAGAAGATCAGGGTTTTCTAATTAAACACTGGGATGGGTGTGGACACAGGCTGAACAGAAAGGTATTTATGATGGGCCTTGTCTGTGAAAGGAGATTGCCTTAACACGGAGATGGAAGCAATGACTTCAGGCAGCAGAAAGCAAGGCAATTTGTCGTGCCTCGGGAGCATTATGTTAGATTAGTGGTCGGCAAACCTCGGCTGGAGAGCCACATGCGGCTCTTTGGCCCCTTGAGTGTGGCTAGCGGAAAACCATGAGCCACTAAGTTTCAATCGCACTGTACATGCGCGCCCACACATGTATTTTGTGGAAGAGCCATTCTCAAGGGGCCAAAGAGCCGCATGTGGCTTTCGAGCTGCAGTTTGCAGACCACCTGGGAAACACGGCCTGACGGGCCCAGATCTTTACCTGGCTGTTCCATCTCACCCTTCAGGGATGGGTGATGTCTGTCACCTTCTCAGAAGCCTTCCTGGCCTCACAAGCTAAAGTGGCCCAGTTAAGCCCGGCCGGTGTGGCTCAGTAGTTGAGTGTCCAGCTATGGACCAGGAGGTCTTGGCTCAATTCCTGGTTAGGGCACACGCCCGAGATGTGGGCTCGAAGCCCAGTGTGGGGTTTGCAGGAAGCAGCCAATGAATGATTCTCTCTCATCACTGATGTTTCTCTTCTTTCTCTTTCTCAATCTCTCCCTCTGTGCCTTCCTCTCCAAAATCAATAATATATCTTATAAAAAATAAACTGACCCAGTCACTTTCCTCTCACTCCATTCAATTTTCTTTATAACTATCGTTCATTTATCTTTTCTTGATGGCACTTGTCATTTTTATGTATTTATTGTCCATCTCTTCCCCACCCCAGCCCAAACTTACCTGTTCACTTAGGTTTTTTTTTTTTTTGGTGTTAAGACTTCAAGATAAGATGTATATTATATACATAATCTTGGTTTGGACTTGCCACCTGTTAATTGGTCCTGGCTACGGACCAATTAACAGGTGGCAAGTCCAAACGAAGATTATGTTATATAATATACATCTTATCTTGGTTATGTTATATAATATACATCTTATTATATACATCTTATGTTATATAATATACATTATGTTATGTTATATTATATAATATACATATTATGTTATGATTGTTATATAATATACATATTATATACATCTTATATAATATACATCTTATCTTGTTATATAATATACATCTTATCTTATTATGTTATATAATATACATCGTATCTTGAAGTCTTAACACCAAAAAAAAAATCTAAAATATATTAATCATGATGACATATCGAAATGACGTTTTAGACCTTTTGGACTGACAAAGATAGAGTTCTAAAGTTAATTTCACCTGTCCCACTTTTTTATGCAGCTATTGGGACATTTTAAATTATATATGTGACTCACACTTCATTCTATCGGCCAGTGCTAGCACAGAGCAGGTACTGCACAAATATTTGTTGAATGAATAAGTGAACTCCAACCACTGCTCTGAAGATACCGGCTCTTGTCCACTGTAACCCCATCACAAGAGGCTTTATACAATTTCAAAGAATGCAAAACTCGGGCTTTTTTTTTTAACAGTATCTTGGCAGGCAGCTCTCAACAGCTCTGCCCACACCCCCAAACACAGCGGTCCGTCATTAGGAAAAACCCAGAACTGGAAACATTCTTGCTAAAAGGAGAGGCTAGCTCCAGATCACTTTCAGATTTAACCATTCAGGGGTCAGTGGAAATGACACGGAAGCTATGAAAAGATTCAGGCAAACAGTGAGGCCATTTATGGGTCCTGTGGGGTAGCAGGCTCTGAGAGAAAGCCCTTATCTGGACGGGAAGGCAGAGAGCTGCCTGTACACCTCCCACTGAAAGCCCGGCTCCGGCAAACAAAGAAATGTCACTTCCCAAGTTAAAGAAGTTACACCGCCCCAGGGAATGCCCTGGGGTTCCAGCCTCCCACCCACAGCCCCCGCCCCGTCCGACAGGGTGGCCACCTCAGAACCCGCCAGGGCGGGAGGAAGCGAACTTCGCTGGAGGGAGAACACAATGAGGTTCTGGAACACAAGCTGAGCCCCAGGCCTGGACCCCTTAGAACTGCTGCTCTGGGAGCTGCTAGAAGCAAGAATGGGGGTGCACGGGAGAGTGGGACTCCCACAATAAATCCCCAGCACACACCCAGTTTCCACACGGGGGGGGGGGGAGGGGCCAGGTGGGTGGGAGGGAGAATGAGGGGCACGTCTGGAGGTTTGGCCTTTGCACAGGGACACCCTCCCCACGGAGGTGACAAGTTCGTGGGCGGCTGGGGCGCAGCCTGCTCCGCGGGTCCACACTGGCCTCCGCTGACAGCTGCCGGCACGGGCGGACCTCACCCATCGGCTCCTACACCCGCACCGGGACCCGCACCCCGGCCCCACCCGGCCCCCCAGCCCCTCTTCACCGGGAAAGGCTCGGAATATAAACATTACATGTTACACATATGTTTTATGTGCGACTTACATTTACTTCTGTTTTTTAAATAAGGACCCCAGACCCCATGTTTACGAGTAGGCAAGTTTGGGAAGCTCCCAACCGCCCACGGAGACAGGCGTTTTTCTATCCATTTTGTGAATGTAAAGCTGACACTTGGGGGGTCAGGGGGTCCCCCACGCACAGCTCATAAGGGGCAGCGCGACTCCCCCCGGACCTGCGCGTGCGGCACCCGGCAGCCACCGCTCGGGCATCACCGGGAGGGCTTGGCGCGTCCACCTCCCACCCGGGACCCTGCTGTGCGGGGTGGGGGTCCCCGGCGCGCGAGGCCCGTCCTCCCGGTCCCGCCGGCGGCGCTGACAGCGAAAGTGAAACAAAGCTGGGCGCCGCGCACCCCGCGCCCCGCGCCGCCGCCCGGCCCCGGCGGCGCCCCCCGTCCCCTCCGCGGCCGAGCCCGCACCGCCCCGAGCCCGGCCGGGCCCCGGCCCCACTCACCTCCGGCCTCCATGGAGGACGCGCGGCCGCGGCAGGCGGCGCCTCAGCCCCCGGGGCCGCCGGCCCTCATTCCGCCGCCGCCACCCCCGCCGCGGCCTCCGCCCCGGCCCCCGCCCGGGCCCCCGCCCCAGCCCCGGCCCCCGCTCCTCCGGCCCCCGCCCCAGCCCCGGCCCCGGCCCCGCCGAGCCCGCCGCCGCCCGGAGAGGCCATCAGCTGCTTCCCGTCACGTGGCGGCGCGAGGGCAGGGGCCGGAGCGGGGGCGGGGCTTGGGCGAGGAGGGCGGGGCCGGAGCGGGGGCGGGGCTTGGGCGAGGAGGGCGGGACCGGAGCGGGGGTGGAGCGGGGGTTGTCGGGGAGCGGGGCCTGGGCGGGGCGCAGAGGGCGGGGCGCGGGGGAGCCGGCGGGAGGGCGGGGCGGAGCGAGGAGGGCGGGGCGCGGAGGGCGGGGCGGAGCGAGGAGGGCGGGGCGCGGAGGGCGGGCGGGACAAATGGGGCTGAGGGAACGCGGCGGGGAGGGGCGGGGGAGGGTCAGGGCTGCGGGAAAACGGGGGGAAGTGGCGCTGCAGGAATGGGGGGAAATGGGGGGAGCGAGGGAAACGGGGGGCGGGAGTGGCGCTGAGGGAAAACGGGAGGGGGCTCAGGGGGCCGCCAACCAGTGAAAATGGGGGCGCGGAGCATGGGGGGAGGGTAAAGCCCGAGGGGGTCAGGGACTGAGCCGAGGGGAACCGGTGGGGGAGGCCGGGCAATAATTCGGGGGTGGGGGGATGGGTAAGAAGATCTGGGTAGAGAAGTGGGGCGCGGCAGGGAACAGGGCTGAGGGAGGGGGTACGGAGGAGAAAACTGGGGGAGCTGGAGCTGGGGCTGGGGAAACACGGGGAGAGGGGGCGAGTAGGAAGGAAACGGGTAAAAACGGATCCGGAGCCGCGGGGGAGCAGGGATTGGGGAGACAATGCGCGGCCTGAGGAGAGACGGGGGCGGCGGGGGGTCCCCGCGGGGTTGGGGGGGGGGCTGCCGCTGAGGCTGGAGATCCGGGGAGCCCGCGGGGTCGGGGAAGAGAACCAGACCCGCCAGTGAACGTGCAGGCACAACCCGCGGACACGGGGAGGACCCGGGCCGTGCGTGGTGAGGGCGGGAAGGGGCTGGAAAGGTTAATGGGGGGACCTTTGTAATACTTTCAATAAAGATTTAAAATCAAATAAAATGTTTAGAAAATGGGAAGCAGAATCAGAAGAGCCGTGACCCGTGGAAGGGCCGAGGTTGACGTGGGCGGGCGCAGGGGCAGCGGCAGAGAGCGGGGCCTGGGGGTGCGGAGCCAGCACCGGAGACGCCGCGGGAACGTGGGGGGACCTGGGGGCGGAAGGGGACGAGAGGCCCTGGCGGCTGAGCTGTGTGCGCCCCCAGAGTCATTGGGGCTCAGAGACACACCAACAGGAGGCCCGGGTGGGAAGCAGACCACCGCGGGGGCGGGTGAAGGTAGGAAACGCGGGTTCGCTTGGGAGGAAATCCATTCATAAAGGGGCAGCTGTGCTGGAGCCAGGGAGCTGGGAGTGGAGTGTAGACAAGGGGGTCGGGGTGGCCTAAGAGGAAAGGCCTGGCACGGGGTAAGGGGACGGAGTTGGGGGCCTCAGCTGGAAGGTGGGGTGACATTGTGGGGGCTGCAGGGAGCTGGGCCCAGGTGACAATCTCCAAAGCCATCACCACGGGGACCATGGGACCCGGAGGCTGATGTGAACTGTGTTGTCAAGCGGCGCATCAGTTCTGTTTTCCCCGGTGACTTCTAGCTCTTTGGACAGCCTGCGGTCTGAGCAGAGAGGCAGAGGTAGGGAGGGGGGAAAGAACAAATTTTTCAGGGACAGTTTAAAGAGGTGAGGGTGTCTCGGTAGGCTTATAGAGGGTCGGTAGTACCTACAAGCCATGGAGGAGAATAAAATGGCAATGAGGACAATATGGTCACCCACAGTGGGAAAGCCGGTTAAAAAACTGGGGGAGGTAAACCATTTCCCCACATCTTCCGTTACTAATCAAGTCTCAATCAAGTCCACTAAAGCTTTTATTTAAAAATAACTTTATTCCATAATCTTTTTTTTTTTTTTTTAAATCCATTATAACCTCAGGATGAATTTCTCCCAACTCACCTCCCCCCATCAAATATTAAAATGTAAGGAATGCAGACCATCTGCTTATTTTTCTTTGCAGCAGATCCCGCCAGCCCCACGATGAGAAGTACGGGTTGGCACTTATTGCATCACCATCGCTTTGACCCAGCCAGGAGGCTGCCCCGGGTTGCAGTGCACGGGCTGTGGAAAATTCCCACCATGTGCCTTCCTGCTGCGGGAACAGGGCCCGGCTGTGCTCGGGAGAACCGGAGCTCAGATCAAAGCCACAAGATGCAGGAGCCCTTTCCCCAATGCCCACCAGGTTTTGAGAAAAAGAAATGTCAGTTGTGATAGCCCTGAACGCTTTGTCTACCTGGTTTTGACAAGGAGACCTGGTCTCCGAGCTTATAACGCATCCAGATAAGAATGCACGTCACACACAGCGTGAGGTGACGACGTGGACTCTGCCACACAAAGTCCGTCACCGTTGACAGCAGGCCTGTGGATGGTCACTCACTCCTAGTGACCTGCTCATTGAAAGATGGGCCATCTTAAAAAAAAAAAAAAAAAAAAAAAAGGAAGCCCCAATTCTTTAAAAATCCTTATAATGTGAAGATCCCCCAGGACCAGGGCGTGTAACTGACCCAGCCATAATGTGCACACAGGGCTCAGATGCCAGGGAGCAGTCCCAGCTCCCTTAGCCAAGGGTTTTTTATAGTGTTTGGCACCCAGATTTGGAAGCTCCCATTTGCTAGTGGAGAAATTCCGCCTAGAAGATTTTGCTACCTCCCAGGTACGGGTGCAGAGAGAAGAGGACATGGCAGAAACATCTCCGTGATCTTGAAAAATCACCCGTGTTCCCAGGGAGGGAATTTTTTACTTTTACTTTTATTTTTTTACCACAGTTTCTTTTCTTTTTAAAAAATGTTGTTGCCTCTGCCTAATAGACACCTAGATTCAGAAATGGGACTTTAAAAAAATAAAAATAAAAGAACTGGAATTCATCTAAAGCGTCCAGCTCGGTGTTCAACAACTGTAGGGACAACCTGTCTGGTATCCTGTTTTGTGAATGGCACTAACTAGACCGATGAGGGTGGTTACATACACGAGGCAAAAGGCCCAGCCAGACAAGACTGCAGAGGTCATGGCCGGTCTGGGGGTGCACATGTGCAGCCAGTGCCTGAGCTCCCCAGTGTTCTGAGCTTGGGGCAGGGGGAGACTGCCTCCTAGGGACTTGCTTCAAGAAAACGGACCAACCCCAAGCACACCTGCGGGTAACCAGTGTCTCACTGTACGAGTCCCAGTCCGCTCCTGGAGAAAGGACGTTCTCCTTTAAGCGCCAGGTCTTGCCCATCGGAGCAGAACGTGCAACATTCAAGAATGCAAATTCAAGTCAGAGTTTTATACTTAGCACACACTCTTTGCACCTTTATAAGGCCCCGGACATTTTTAAAAGAGATCTGGGTGAACCAGGGGGAGGCGGGGGGGAATACAGGCTCTACTGGAAGCATCAGCCGCTTAAACCCAGCATACAATGGTTTCGTTAGAAACTCGACATCGTCCATCAGTGCATCTTCACAACATCGTCAAAGAGAAGATGGGAACCAGCTCTCCCTCCACGGCCGGAGGAGCTGGTCTGCCCAAGGAGGACTGCCCACCAGCTACTCCCTTTCAAAACACGTCTCCTGCTTTCTCGCAAAGTCCCGGGAGAAAGGAAGGATGGGGAAGGCCGAAAGCTGACAGTGCCGTGTAAGAGGCTCTTGTATGAATACGAAGCTTTGCAAAATGTGAGGTTCTGATGAAAAGGCACTTTCTCTTCTGGGCCCCTGCCTCTTCTGAAAATAATTCTCTTTCCAGGGAAGCAGACGTTGTCCCGTTGTCAGGAGAGCTCCGATAAAGCCCTCGCCCGAAACCATCCCACAAAGAATGGCGGGTCCAGGCGGGAGCTCGCACCTGGCAGCTGCCCTGGTTTTCCTCCGCCGGGGAAGGCAGAGGAGGACAGCGAGCATCTCTTGAGCACCTTTGAGGCACATTCATGTCCAGAGTCCTCACCACGCCCCTGTACGACAGGTGTGAGTTCACCCATTTCACAGATGAGGACATGGAGGCCCAGGGCAGAGGCAAAGCAACGCCCAAGCCCATGAAACAAGGAGCCCAGACTCAGTCCTGGGTGATCCTGACCCAGACTGCCTCCCTCGGACCAGCCTCAGTAGCTGACCCTCCTCACCTTTTCCAGGGAGCTGACCTGGCTCCTTGGCTCACCTGGGCAGGGGTCCAGGAAGTGTCCCTTCCCCCTCTTCCCCCGCATCATGCCCTATGCGCTGAGGTAAGCTGGTCACAGACTTCACTGGTGGCCAGGGCATGGCGGCCAAGGGCCTCCTCACACGCCTGCTTCCCCCAGATCGGCATCCGTGGACCCGGATAAAGCCAGGAGTCACCGCAGAAAGGGCACCTCTGGTGCCAAAGGCAGCTTTCCCATACACATCGCCCCTGTTCCCAACGTTTTCCAGCATCACCGAGAAAAGTTACAGCAAATCAAACCGGCTTGTTAGAAAAGGGACAGAGAGGTGTGTGGGTGTATGTGTGTATTTGTGCATGTGTGTATTTGTGTGTGTGTATATTTGTGTGTGTGTATTTGTGTGTATGTTTGTGTGTATTTGTGTGTGTGTGTGTGTGTGTGTGTGTGTGTATGTTTGTGTGTATTTGTGTGTGTGTGTGTATGTTCGCTGAGAGCCCGGTTTAAACCCTCAGGCAGAGGTTCAGGTCAAAGCAGAAGGAAAAGCTCATCTTCCGAGAGGCTCCCAGCTCACCGGGCCCGACAGGAGGGCAGCTCTCTGGCTCACACCGGCCTGTCTTCCTCACGGACCAGCTCACTCTGCTGCTCGCTGCTCTCATCTGGAGGGAGAAGGAGACCAGGTTTGGGATGATCTCAACAGGGATGGATCCTGTTCCCATCCACCTTCAAAAACCTCCATTCCAGTCCCTCCTGAGAGCCTCAGCCGATGTCCTGCAGGAGCAGGTGGGGGGCTGTGTGTTCCCTGTTCACCTGCTCCTCCCGTCAGCATCCTTAGACTTGCTCGACACTGTCCACCCTTCATGCCCAGAGCTCCCGGACTCCCCTCACCCGGGCGCCCTCTCTCCTTCTAGCTTATTCCAATGACTAGCCTGAGGCCTGCCTGCGAGCCCACCTCTTCCATCCAGCCTCTCCTGACCACAGTACCCTGGGAGCTCTTGTCTGTCTCCTGAGGGCCTGGTAAGCAAGTCATTCATCGGGCAATCAACCCAATTCCTCCGAGACAGCTCCCTCAGAGCGTTGGGTAAGTCTTGCTTCTGTTCGCATTGTCCCATGTTTTACTCTGTCCGCTCAAACCGGTCTCCCTGCCTGCAGACAGGACTGGCCTTCCTTTTCTTTTTCTTTTTTTAAATATATTTTATTGATTTTTTACAGAGAGGAAGAGAGAGGGATAGAGAGTTAGAAACATCGATGAGAGAGAGTCACCGACCAGCTGCCTCTTGCACACCCCCCAACTGGGGATGTGCCCGCAACCAAGGTACATGCCCTTTGACCGGAATCAAACCCGGGACCTTTCAGTCCGCAGGCCGACGCTCAATCCACTGAGGCAAACCGGTCTTAGCTGGCCTTCCTTTTCTATTCTCCTTCCCCACCATGCCGGGCCTTTCCCAGAGCAGGCGCTGGTAAACGCTGACCAGTTAAATTGGTGCACTGGTAGGTGATGATGGATTCTCAGCTTAAACTTTAACCGTCTTCTCCAAAGACCCTAGCAGAGGTCTCCCCTGCCGCCCCCCCCCCCCAGCTCAGCGGGGCGCTGCGGGGAGAGCACTCACCCTGCAGAGGCGGCAGCCCGTTGGCCATCCAGTCGAGGTTGCCGTTCACCAGGGCGGTCACTCTGTGGACGCGGCCATGCTTGTGTATTTCCTTTGGGAACGCCTCCCTCTCGTTGGCTGCTTCCTCCTCCTCTTCTCTCTCCTCTTCCTCCTCCTCCTCTGCAGCATTTTCTTCTTCCTCCGCCTCTTCTTCCTCATCCACCAGAACCATGACGTCGCCCATGTCTTGCCCCCTGACCGCCAAAGGGAGAGACAGGGTCAGGAGGCGCCTGGCCGGCGTTGCAGCGTCCGCCCCGCTGACCAGGAAGCCCTGGGTTCTTGGCCGCCCCCCAGGCCACATGGGAGATCCGCCTGGCGTTTAACTGGGTGACGTCATGAGGTGACAGTGGGACCGTAACCTCCCCGGAGGCCCAGCCTCAGGTGGGAACAGACAACCTTAGCTCTCTGGGCGGGTTTGTCATCCTCCCCTGCCCTGGGGACGGTGACCTCATGGTCCCAGGCTCCTCCATTCTACTGCCCTCCCAGCACGCACTCCAAAGCTCTGTTTCTCCCCCGAAGGGCCCTTATTTCCGCTCCACTCACTGAGATCTCCCCGCCTCGTTAGTTAGGGCCCCGGGAAATGTCTCCCCTCTGCCCCCTGAAGTCCGTCCTGAGCTACTGGGAGTCCTTGCCCAGGGGGTGGAGCGTGTAATGGCTCTTGGGTTGCTGCTGGTGGTGCCTCCCCAGTGGGACTGGGCGTTTCTTTAGGAAAGGAGAGCACGGGCCACGGGCCAGGAACAGGCCTGGGAGCCTCACCTCCTACTTAACCCCCAGCCTCCCCCGGACACAGGCCACGGCAGGAAGGCGGGGGCTTGCCCCGCACAGGACTTGGCCAGGGCAGAGCTGGATTTGAACCTAGGCCGGCTGACTCCAACGCCTTTCCCACTGAGCCTCACTGCTCATCCTGTGAGCAGGAAACCTGGGATGACAGGCTCCCCGGGGGAAGGGAGGGTCCTCACACACAGGCAGCAAAGCTAACATTGTCCCTGGGGGGGGGGGGGGGTCCAAACCAATAGTATCTCCTCATGAAGAACGGTGGGCTGAGAACAATAGCGTGCAGGCTGTTCAGGGGGGAAGAGAAAGAGGTCCCCTGCTCCGCCCAAACCGCCCGGAACAAAGTGCAGTTCCATTTGGGTGCTCGGTCCCTCCCGGGCGCCCTCCCTGAAGGGCCCCACAGCGCTCAGACTAGTCCTCCCCAAGCCGCTGTGGACACGGCTCACTCATCCGTCCGCTCCTCCGGGAAGAGCCGGAGCGGGGAGTGCTGGGTGACTGGGTGACTGGCTGACGCGCACCCTGACTCTGCCTCAGCGCCCCCCCAGGCCCCGCTGGAAGAGGAAGACTTTGGAGCGGCCAGGCCAGGCCGGTCTGAAGGCAGCATCCTCCCGGGTGCTCTGCTCCCTGTCCGGGAGCTGGATGCGGGAGGAGTTTGTCAATAAGGCCGGGGGAGGCCCAGTCCCGGGCCGGCCACGGCTGGCCTCATCGGGAGTAGCTGTTCTGGTTCTGACAAAAGGAAGCCGCAGTGAAGGCAGATCCTGGACACGGTGCAGGACATGGGCTCGGGGACACTCACCTGACAGTGCTTCCCACTGCAAGGAGGAAGGAGACACAGTTACTATCAAACACCAACCGCTCCAGCTCCCACCTTCTTAATCACTCTCCCATCGACCGAGGAAGGACAGGGGATGCCGGCCCACGGGGGAGGGGACAGGGCGTCTGGGGTGACAGGTGTTTGGGGTGACAGAGCTTTGGGGTGACAGGGTGTTGGGGTGACAGGGCGTTCGGGGTGACAGGTGTTCGGGGTGACAGGGCGTCCGGGGTGACAGGGTGTCTGGGGTGACAGGGCGTCCGGGGTGACAGGGCGATCGGGGTGACAGGGCGTTCGGAATGACAGGGTGACAGGTGATCGGGTGACAGGGCGTCCGGGGTGACAGGCGTTTGGGGTGACAGGTGTTCAGGGTGACAGGGCGATCAGGGTGACAGGGTGTTCGGGGTGACAGGGCGTCCGGGGTGACAGGGCGTTCGGAATGACAGGGTGACAGGTGTTCGGGTGACAGGGTGTCCGGGATGGTGCTGATGGAACATCTGGGCCCAGTGAAGAAGCCTATGGGGTGGGATTTCCGGTGGGAGCCTAATAGGGGCCTCCGTCCCCTCCACCCCCAGCCACCCCCTTTCAAACAGCCCGAAGGAGAAGCAGCAGGACCGGAGGAGGGCTTACGTTTCCAGCAGAGCACCGGGCTGTAGTAGAGCAGGAGCCCCGAGACGATGGCCAGGCCCAGCAGGAGGAGGCTCACGATGGTGCCCACAATGCCCACGATGTTCAGGGGCTCTGCAAGGACAGTCACACTGCTGACACCCCCCCACACACACACACACACACACGCCTGCAGCCAGCTCAGGCGCGCCTCCCTCCTCCACCCGGGTCCTGTCTTATCTCGGTTTCATGGTGTTGGGTGAGGCACATGACCTCTCTGTAAAGCAAGACCGGTATCTCCTCTCCCTGCCTCAGACCGTGTGTGGGAACCAAGCGAAGCATGCGGCACACAGGCACATGGGAGAGTGAACATCTCTGTGCCCACCACACACCAACGCTGTCCCGAAGGCCACGGTCATGAAGAGTGCAAACAGAACGGAGAATCCAATAGCGGCCCACACAGAAAAGGACACTTCACAGGCCCCCGCATAAAAGGAAACCTGACATATGACAGATTAGTGAGAAAACAGAGGAACTGTTTGAGAAATGGGTGCTGGCAAAAACGAGGGGGGAGGGGAAGAAAAACTTGGTCCTGACCCCACACCATTCACAAAAAGCATTAAAGATTCAATTGTGGAAGGCAAGACAATAAGACATTTACTATCAATGTGATGGTTGGACAGTTAAAAAGATTTTTAAGATAAAAATTGCTAATGATATAAAAATAAATCCATGGAATCATCTACATTAAGGTAAGAATGTTTGCTAATCAGAGGATACCAAAAAGAAAGTGAGAAGGACCCACAAGGAACTGAAAGAAGTCACCTCTAACATAAAACTAACAAGGAACTGGCATGCGAATCTCTAAAGAAGGCCTTCATATCTATAAGAAAGGGTCAGATATATCAAAAGATACAAATATGTATGGATTTCATAGAAGAAATACAAGCAGCAACTAAACATGAAATAATGCTCGACCTTCTGAGTAAAGAGAAATTCAAGTTAGAACCACAGTGAGGTTCCATGTTACACCTCCCTGATGGACAGAATCATAAAGGAACACTGACGCTCACAAAATACCCTTACAAATGGAAACAAGCTTTGGAAGGTAATTTGATTACCCCCAAAAGATAGAATATGCACCCCAAAAGATAGAATATGCACATAACCTGTTACCCTTCATTTCTACTCCTTATGCATATCCTAGAGAAATATTTGACAGGGGGACCTGGTGTATATGTACACACAGGAGTTGGTAAAATATTTTCATAGCAACACTGTTTGTTCATCAAAACAAAACAAAACAAAAAAAATCAGAAACAACACAAACATCCATCAGCAGGAAAATCAGTAGGTAGCTGTGTAATAATGACACAGTGGAAAGTTATGCAGCGATGAAGAGACACACTGGGACAAAATGGAGAGTGAAAAAAAGAAGTCACAAAAGACTATATTTATATGGTAACCAGCATTTTTTAAAACTCAAAACCAAAAATAAACAGCAATACTATTTATGTAGTGTGTACATACATAACAAAATTTTTTCTTAAATCAGACATGAAATCCAGGATAGTGGTTACTTTTATTTTAGGAGGCCAGGATCAGACTGAAACAAGGCCTACAGGTGTGGTTGCAAGATAAAACACAGGCCCTGGCTGGTTTGGCTAAGTGGATAGAGCACTGGCCTACGGACTGAAAGGACCCAGGTTCGATTCCAGTCAAGAGCACATGTGTGGGTTACAGGCTCCATCCCCAGTAAGGGGCATGCAGGAGGCAGCCAATCAATGATTCTTTCTCATCATTGATGTTTCTCTCTCTCTTTTCCACTCTAAAATCAATAAAAATATGTTTTGTTTTGTTTTTTTAAAAAGATAAAATACAGGATACCCAGTTAAATCTGGATTTTTTTAAAATATATTTTATTGATTGTTTACAGAGGAAAGGAGATAGAGAGCTAGAAACCTCGATGAGAGAGAAGAAACATCGACCAGCTGCCTCTTGCACACCCCCCACTGGGGATGTGCCCACAGCCCAGGTACATGCCCCTGACCGGAATCGAACTCGGGACCTCTCAGTCCACAGACCAACGCTCCACGGCTGAGCCAAACCGGTTTCGGCTAAATCTGGATTTCGATAAACAACAAATAATGCTCTAGAATCAGTATGCCCTGTGCAACATTGAGGACATACTGACACCACTTAAAGTTATTCTTTGTTCTCTGAAACGCAGATTTAAGTGTGTAGCCCCGTCTTATTGGTTCTGATGCCGTTTCTAAACCTGGCACAATGCTAGCGGAGACGCCAGCCGTGCTGCCCCTGATCCACATCTTAAGTGGGATGCGGTTTCCTGGGTGGGATGGTGTTCATTTTGCTATTATGCTTCGCCACTTACGTTATAGTTTTTACTTTTATACATTTCACATTAATATACATTTTAACTATATATATATTTTCACTATATACAGATTTATAGAGAGTACAGCTCGGTAGAAATCCTTGGGTATATAACAGATATTACGCACTATTATCACTATGCAAATGTTAGAGACTTAGGACTGGACCCTCATTTTCCCCATCCATCTTGTCAAACCGCAAGCACGCACATCTGCTTCTCCCAGCCGCAGGGGCGCTCCCCGCTGCCGCTCTCAGACTCCCGCACCGGGCGCCTCTCCTCTCACTCACTCACCTTTCACGCTCAGCCAGGTGGCCGCCTCCCTCACCCCCACGGGGTTCTCGGCTTGGCAGACGTAGTAACCCTCATCCAGGGCCTGGGAGCAGTTCCGGACGGTCAGGGTGGAGCTCTGGCCCTTCTGGGAGATGACGTAGTGGCTGCTGGGCTGGATGACCACCTCGGGCTGGGTGAGGTTCCGCAGCCACAGGATCTTGGCAGCGGGGTAGGCTCCAGACACCAGGCAGGTGAGGGTCACGTTGCCCCCCACGAAGCAAGTCTTCAGGGGCTCGGAGAGAAGGGAAGGGCTCCCTGGTGATCAGAAGAAGATACAGAAAGACAAATGCTTAAGAAGATTCAAGCGGCCCTGGCTGGTTTGGCTCCACGGATAGAGCGTTGGTCTGCAGACGGAAGGGTCCCAGGTTTGATTCCGGTCAAGGATAGATGCCCAGGTTGTGGGCTCAGTCCCAAGTAGGGGTTGTGTAGGAGGGGGCCAATCAATGATTCTCTCTCTTCAGTGATGTATCTATCTCTTCCTCTCTGTAATCAATAAAAATACATTTTTTTTTAAAAAGATTCAAGCCGCCGAAACCAGTTTGGCTCAGTGGATAGAGCGTCGGTCTGCGGACTGAAAGGTCCCAGGTTGGTTTCTGAGTCAAGGGCCTGGGACCTTTTAGTCATGAACCTGGGACCTTTCAGTCATGTACATCCCCAGTGGGGGGTGTGCAGGAGGCAGCTGGTGAATGATTCTCATTGACATTTCTAACTCTATCCCTCTCCCTTCCTCTCTGGAAAAAAATCAATAAAATGTATATATTAATATATGTAAAAAAAAAAGATTCAAGTGGTGGCCTGAGATTTTCAAGAATATTATCTCCTTTCTAGTGAAGCAACTTCAGGAATTTCTGTACCACACCTGGTCTTATCTACATATATTAAAGCTAAGTGACCGACCGTCCGTCCATACGTCTGACTGATCAACCTTTTAGTACATATGACGTGCACTGGCAGTCTATAATAATAAAAGTGTAATATGCTAATTAGACCAGATCTTCCGGACAACCTTCCAGACGAAGCTGGGACTACAAGGGCCGAAGGCGGCCGTTGTGGCTGCCGAGGGCGGAGTCCCTTGCACAAATTTTGTGCATCGGGCCTCTAGTTTAAAAAAAAAAAACACCGACTCACGCATGTGCAATACATAAAGCTCCCATTGAATTTCTTAATAGTATTACTCCTTCGGGAATGCCATGTCATGAATTAAAATTGAAAGTGGGTGCAATCATTATGCTACTGAGAAATCTTAGTAGTAAATGGAGTCTTTGTAATGGCACTAGGTTAATTATCAAAAGATTGTGACCTAACATAATCGAAGCTGAACTATTAACAGAATCTCCGGAAGGAGGTTGTTCTGATTCCAAGAACTGATTTGTCCCCATTTGACACTGGCCTCCCATTTAATTTAATTCGAAGACAGTTTCCCGTGACGCCTGCATTTGCAATGACTGTTAATAAGTCACAAGGACAAACTCTAGACAGAGTAAGAATATTCCTACCTGAATCCGTTTTCGGGCATGGTCAGTTATGTATTGCTTTCTCTCTGTTAAAGTTAAAGTTGTAAATACTTCATCACAAAGGAAATCAGTCAAGCACTCTGAAAGTGTTTTTACTCTTAATGTGGTACAAGGGAGATATTAGAATAAGTTTAATCAATTTGTCATCATTGTTTTTATTAATGTTTTTATATCATGTTTTTGTTGTTTTTATAGCATGTCTTTTATATCCTGTTGTTATTGTTTATTTATTAATCATATATTATTTTCATATACATTTTTCTAATTTTCTCTCATCTCTGACACTTCTATTATAGAGGAAGGGCGAATAGCGATATTAAAATATTTCTTCTAATTAACTTCCTTTCAATGTGCACGAATTCGTGCACTGGGCCTCTAATATAATAATAAATGCTAACATTTACAGAGCACTGACAATGGGTGAGGCACTGTTATTCATATTAATCCAATTAGTTCTTTTAACAACCCTGCCATTAGTTCCATTTTACAGACGGGGAGACTAAGGCACGGAGAAAGTTAAGTAACTGGCTCAAAGTCACACAACTAAGTAAGTGATGCAGCTAAGATTCAGGGTGACGCACTGTCCTGGTTTGCCAAAGACTGAGGGGTCCTGGGCCATGGGGCTTTCAAAACGGGGGACGTCTTGGGCAAACCCGGATGTAAGACTGGAACCCAAACAGCCAGGCTTCCGTAGGCCACATTCCTTACTTCTGTGCTGTAGGCTTCTCTGTGTAACAACCACATGGAGCATATTTTTTTGAAAAAGGGCATACAGTCTGACAAGGGTGTTCACGGAGACAATGAGGCAGCTGTACAGTTTCCTATTGCTGCTGTAACCAACTGCAGCAAACTCGGTGGCTTAAAACAAAGAAACGTAAGCTTTCACAGTTCCGGAGGTCCGAAGTCCAACGAGACATTATTGGGCTAAAAGCAAAGTATTGGCAGAGCTGGTTCCTTCTGGAGCCTCCAGGGGAGAATCCATTTCCTTGTTTTCCCAGCGTCCCGAGCCACCTGCATTCCTGGGCTTGTGGCCCCTTCACGCCAACCTTTTATGTCTGTTGTCACACCACCCACTGCCGAGGGTGACCTTCCAGCCTCCCTCTTGTTAAGGCTTCTCGCGATGACATCGGGCCCATCCGGAAATCTAGGACAACCGCCCCATCTCAAATCCTTAATCACACCTGCGAAGTCCCTTTTGCCACGGAGGTAACCTAACACAGGCTCTGCAGACCAGGAAAGGGCCATGGCTGGGGGACCTGCACTCTGCCTACCCCGGTTCTGTTCTAAAAATGCACAGGGTGCCCCTGTGGCATTGGGGTCTGCCTGAGCAGGACGTGAGGATGTGTAAGGTGGGCCTCAGTGACCCATTTGCTTTCTCTGCACAAGAAACCCTTTCCCAAAACGTACACCAAATTCATCGCAGGTTATAAGACCGTATTTCCGGCGGCTGGGAGACACAGAGGGCACACTGGGTTCCCGCCTGGGAGGGTGGAACGGCCCACTTCCCCTTGGCAGTTGTTCCCGGAGAGAATCTAGGGTTTCATTGCTGGCATCCCGGGTAGAAGGGTGGGAGCGGGGGAGGGGGGGAGGGACAGACCAGGCCTCTCTCTGTAGGTCAACAAAAAAGAACCCCACGAACCTGGATTTGCTCAGGACACTCGCATGCTGCACCTGTTCTTGGGTCAATGGTCAGGTGCCCCCCACCCGACGTTACTCAAACACACACACACACACACACACACACACACACACACACACACTCACTCCATCTGTGGCTAACCCGAATTTCCTTTGGGGTCATGAAGCCAGGGCGGTGCCCAGCCTTAGTATGTTTGTACTTTGCAGGCCCCCAACCGAAGTTTGAGAAATGCCCCCTCCCCCCGACCCCTGTCTTATGAAAAGCAAAACAAATAATTGGCTAGGCCCTCCAAACTCCCAAAGATCATGTACATAAGTACACACACGGCATTCACCCCCTCAGAAAGCTGAGTCACCCATCCATCTAAGAATTCAACGAGTTTCGCTTAAGAGGATGCTGTGTGCAAGGGTGGGGTCAGGGGTCGGGGGGGGGGGATGCAAAGGCCTCAGAGATCTGCGAGAGATGGACCACACATGCTGCGTCCTTGACATGCTGGGCTGGCCATGCAGCTCATCATGGGTTGCATTGGGTTTTTGTTTGTTTTTAGTTCAGGGACCTACGTGCTGTTTAAAGAGAGAGATGAGTGGCAGGACTCCCCAAAAGTGCTATTTCTCATGATTTTGGGGAGTTACGCTGTTCTGTATCCCTAAGGTGGACACCGACGTTACTTCTCAACGATTTACTAGTCCCCCCAAGTGAATGATGACCCATGTACCCCTCTCCCCCAAGGGCCTTGCTACTGGAAGGGGGGGGTCTGTGGACCAGCAGCAGCAGCACGTGCTGGGAACTGATTAGAAATGCAGAGTCTCAGGCCCCCTCCTCCCCAGGTGACTTGTGTGCACCAAGGCTTGAGAAGCGGTGGGCTCGAGTGCCCGTGAGGGAACAGGGGAAAACTGGAAGGTTCCAGGTGCTGTGCCTGCTTCCTAGAATTAGAAACCTGTCAGCTCCCTTCTCCAGAAGCATTGCCTAATCCTGAGCACTCACAGGGCGGGACAGGCGTAGGTCTCTAGTTGTTTGTATGGAAAATAATACAATGCTAAGCAAACAATAATACCAGATGTCACAAAGCCAAGTCCTAATGAGCAAACAGGAAGAGCCTAAAAGACAAGGGAGCACTGACTGTCAGGAGGAGCTGTGGGGAGTGACACTCTCAGCGTCTTTCCAGAGGGACTGCCCTGGCTGCAGGGCTGCTCTCTGGGGGATGGGGATTTCCTGGAATGAGGTCATGTGACAGCGTTGTGAACATACGAAGTGAACAAGTCAACGCTGGGTCGGCCCGGCCAGGGGGGCCCAGCTGGTCAGACATGGAGAGGCTGCCTGTTTGATTTCTGCTCGGGGCACATGCCAGGCTGCAGGCTGGGTCCCTGGTAAGGGGCATGCAGAAAGCAGCCCAGCCCTGTTTTGCTCTCACATTGATGTTTCTCTCTCCCTCTCCCTCTCTCTCTCTAAATATCCATCAACTAATTTTTAAAAACCACTGAATGAATACATTTTTTTAAATATATTTTATTGATTTTTTTACAGAGAGGAAGAGAGAGGGATAGAGAGTTAGAAACATCGATGAGAGAGATATCGATCAGCTGCCTCTTGCACACCCCCTACTGAGGATGTGCCCGCAACCAAGGTACATGCCCTTGACCGGAATTGAGCCCAGGACCTTTCAGCCTGCAGGCCTACGCTCTATCCACTGAGCCAAACCGGTTTCGGCTGAATGAATACATTTTAAAATAGTAAAGTTTATGTTATGTAAATTATATCTCATTTTTTAAGTTTGCAGAAAGCCGCTAGGACCGATCAGGCCCCTGGGGCACAGTTTGCTAAGCCCTGTTCCAGCACAGAAAGTAAGTCTTGGTCTGCCCGTTGCCCGGGGCCAGCATAGTCTCTGACACAGAGGGCCCTGGGCCATGGCTGCTTACTGCCCTTGGAATGGCACGTGACCAGGAAAACAAGCACCTCCTGGCACGGCCAGGCTCACTTCTCAGCACGCCAGCTCAGCCCGGCACCTCTGAAGACGATCCTGGTAAACCACGAGGAAAATCTCACCACGGCCGATAAAACCCAACACGCCCAGGGCCTTGCGCACCCGTGGTGTTAGTTTCCTGAGCTGTTACAATACAGCCACTGGGTGGCTTAAAGCAGCAGACGTCTCTACAGCTCAGAAAGTCAAAAGTTCATAATCAAGGGATCAGCAGGCCTGGTTCCTTTAAAGGCGCTGACGGAGACACTACCCCATGCCTCTCCCTCAGTTTCTGTTTGATTGGCAGTCATTGGCATTCCTTGGCTTGTAGATGCATCATGAACCTCCGCCTCCATCATCATCAGGTGTTCTCCCTGTGTGTCCATGTCCAAATTTTCCTCTCTTTATAAGGATGACAGCCATTAAATAGGGCCGACCCTCATCCAATATGACCTATGACCTCATCTTACCATAACAACATCTGCAAGGACCCTTATTCCATAGGTACCTGGGTTAGGACTTGAAACAACGTTTTTGGGGGGACACAGTTCAACCCGCCACACCCACCGAGGCTCATCGGTACCTCAATGCTCTGGCTACACTGATCTTCTCTAAGTTCCTCAAAGGCCGAGTATGTTCCCACCTCAAGACCTCTGCCTTTGCTGTCCTCTCTGCCACAAGTACTCAACCCTCAGTCAACTTCACCAGGTCAACTCCTTCTCGTCCTTGAAGTCTCAGCTCAAAAACTGTACAGACTGAGGTAAAAGTAGGTCTACAGTGATTCATATGGAAAATAATACAATCTCTATATATAAAAGCTTAAATGACCATTATGACTTGTTGACCAAACACTCAATGCAGGAGCTGCCCCCTGGTGGTCAGTGTACTTCCCCAGCCAATCTCCTGTAGTCTCTTCCTCTCCCTCCCTCCCTCGCTCCACCCTCTCCCTCCCCCCTTCCACCCTCTCCCCCACCCCCACCCCCCGCCACTGGGCCAGCCTGGATCACCAGCCAGGCCAAGGGACCCCAGCCATACATGAATTCGTGCACCAGGCCTCTAGTAATTAATAAACAGGAATACACTCCATGTTTCCATACTCACGTGTAAACCACTTTGCCCAACCCTGTCTTACTGCCCCAAGGAGACCTCCCTGCCACCTTCCCTAGAAGAGACTCTCCTGAATGCCCACCGGCGACTTTGATTCGAAGCCCAGCTGGGCCGACCAGGCAGAGGAGGAGGTAGAGGACAACCCGCAAGCTCCTCAAGGGGATCCCTTCGGCCACTGGCGACACGGGCCCAGAGCCTGGGCGACTGCCAGGAGCTCCACTTCCGGCACCCAAGGAGGCCATCAATGGAGACATCAGGACAGTAACCGAGTACAAGATAGATGAAGATGGCAAGAGGTTCAAGATTGTCCGCACCTTCAGAACTGAGACCCGGAAGGCCTCAAAGGCAGTTGCAAGGAGGAAGAACTGGAAGGAGTTTGGGAGCTCAGAGTTTGACCCACCGGGGCCCAATGTGGCCGCCACCACAGTCAGTGAGGATGTGTCCACGACTTTCATCACCGGCCAGGAGGATCTGAACTGCCTGCCAGGAGGAGGAGGACCCAATGAACAAGCTCAAGGGCCAGAAGATCGTGCCCTGCCGTGTCTGCAAGGGCGACCACTGGACCACCCGCTGTCCCTACAAGGACACGCTGGGGCCCATGCAGAAGGAGCTGGCTGAGCAACTGGGCCTGTCCACCGGCGAGAAGGAGAAACCGGCTGGAGAGCGGGAGCCTGTGCGGGCAGCCCAGAACAAGGCAGGGAAGTGCGTGCCACCGGGCCTGCCGGACGGGGCCAGCCGCCGCGGGGAGTCCATGCAGCCCAACCGCAGAGCTGATGACAATGCCACCACCCGCGCCACCAACCTGCCAGAGGACACCCGTGACACAGACCTGCCAGAGCCTTCAGACCCTTCGGCTCCATCTCCCGCCTCTACCTGGCGAAGGACAAGACCACTGGCCAGTCCGAGGGCTCTGCCTTCATCAGCTTCCACCGCCGTGAGGACACCGCCCGCGCCATTGCCGGAGCGTCCGGCTTTGGCTACGACCGCCTCATCCTCAACCATCACTGCTGCTGCTGTTTGGCACCTGGCCCTCCTCTACAAGGAGGGAACACCAAGGGCAATAAAAAAGCTCCAATTGCTGCCGAAGCTGGTTTGGCTCAGCGGTAGAGCATCGGTCTGCAGACTGAAAGGTCCCAGGTTCGATTCCAGTCAAGGGCATGTACATTGGTTGCGGGCACATCCCTGGTAGGGCGTGTGCAAGAGGCAGCTGGTCGATGTTTCTCTCTCATCGACGTTTCTAGCTTTCTATCTCTCCCTTTCTCTCTGTAAAAAATCAATAAAATATATATTTTTTAAAAACATTAAAAAAAAGCTCCAATTGCAAAAAAAATATATAAAAAAATAAAATAAATAAGAGACTCTCTTACAAATACCATTATATTCTCATAGTTATTCTCACCATCTGAACCTATCTTATTTATTGTATTTTTTGTCGTCTTCCCACCTCCACACCACCCAGATTTTAAGCTCTGTAAAAGAGGAATAGTAATATGTCCAGAAATTCTTTGACACTTCTCCCTTCAAAAAGTGTTGCCTTAAAAAAAAAAAAAAAAAAAAAAAAAAAAAAAGTAGTACTTAATGTCCCCCACTCTCCTTGAAAGTGAAGTCAGACTGAGTGACTCGCTCAATGAACAGAACGTGGTGCACGGGAAGCCACCTGTCTGGAGGCTCGGTCATAAAAAGGTACCATCTACCTGGCTTAACCCTCTTGTATCACCTGCTCTGGGGGAAGCCGGCCGCCATGCTGTGAGGACGCGCATGTAGCCCTGTGGAGCGTCCCGCCTGGAGAGGAGGCGGCCTGCCAGGTGGGAGAATGAGTGCCTGCAGCCGAGACCCAGGCATGGTGGATCCCAGACACACCCTCCCCACCGCGCCCTCACGGAATTCCTGACCCACCGAGGTCCTGAGATGGTAAGTGATGGGTTGTTTTAAGCCATTAAGTTTGGGGTGATGTGTTACGCACGGGAGATCGCTAATAAATAACCTTGTTTGTCTTGTTCCCTGGCCCATCTCCAGCACCTAGAAACTGCCTCGTGTACAGGTGCTCAATTATCGATAATATAGCTCAGCCTAGGACCAAGCTTGGTTAAGCTTCCAAGGTTGAAAGGAAGGCATCAAACGGTTCTCCCAGAGGAAGGCGGGTAGACTCCAACCCCGGGACAAGGCACGCCAGACTCACGGATCTGCACCATGCAGCTGGCGCCCGGCTCCGGCCCTGCTATGTGGCTCCCGACGCACTTGAACTTCTGGCCATCTGACAGCTGGGACCGGTTCAGCGTCTCCAACTTGGACGTCCCCACAACCACGCCTCCTGGCTCTTCTGTCCACAGGAAGTTAGGGTCCGGGTACCCCCCGTCCCAGCGACAGGTGAGCTGCAGCAGGAACGGGCTTGGTGACATCTCTGCCCAGCACTCAAGGTCTGACACAGGGGGAGCTGCAAGACACCGGAGGGAGCCTGGGCTTACTCCCAATGCCGAGGTCAGCACCGGGCTGGCCTGCAGAGCCGGGAGCAGGGGCAGCGGGACACCATGCTCAGCTCCTGGCACAGATGAAGGCCGGACGGCAGCCAGGTTTCCCCTGCCGGGGGCTCCGTCTCCGAGGGCACGGGCCTGACTGACTTTGTGTTTCTCACTAACTGTGCGTGGCTTTATACGTTTAAATTACTAACAAAAGAAAATGGCCAATTTAGTTCCTCCATCACACCACCCCATTTCAAGCGCTAACTACGCGTGGTAGGTGGTTATTAGACTACACAGTCCAGAACTTTTCCGTTATCACGGAAAGTTCCAGTAGACAGTTTTGGTGCCTAGAGGGGGTACTGGTGGGACTTACTCCCACCCCCAACATAGACTTCCTGTTTACCGTGTGCACGTATTACTAAAAACACAACGTTTTTAACCAAGTTACAGACCTATAAATCCAATGTAATCCACGCGCTAATAAGTATATATCAATTCACACGTACTCTACAGCATATGCATATTATGTATGTGTATGACCATAGGTTTTACATAACACACATAAACCGGAATAACTCTGGATCGTATACTAATGGGTGTGTATGTGTCATCTACCAGAAAAAATGATTGGACACGTACCACAATGATGGATATGTGCCAAAAATGATTGGACATGTGCCAAAAAGAGAGTACAGTGATTCTTTTCTTCTTTGCATTAATCTGGGTTCCCTACATCCAGCATGTATGACCTGGTATGCAATCAATGTCACTTAGGGGAGAGAAAACAGGCGTACGAAGGCTCTGAATCACCCGCGGATTAGTCGTGAGTCGTGATCCTGCCCGCCCACCGCCTGTTCCCGTGCCCCCTCTTTGGCGGAGTGTGAGTGCACGGGCGCCTCCTGCGGTGCTTTCTATCCATAGCGCACGTGGTGGTGGTGTCTTCACCCCAAACTAAAGGCCCGTGAACTGCTGGCCCCTCACAGTGCTGAGGGCCCAGGGCTCGGGAAGACGATGCGGGAGGACCGAGAAACGAACCCACACAGCGTGGTCCGTCCCGCAGTGGAGGAGCGTCCGGCCCACAAAAAGGAACAAGCACTGACTCACCCTACAACCTGGGCCAGGGGCCGGCAAACTGGTTCGTCACCAAGCCACATAGCAGCAGGACAACGACTGAACATTCCTGGGCGAGCCACATTTTTTAAACTTAAACTTCTTCCAACACCACTTCTTCAAAACAGATTCGCCCCGGCCGTGGTATTTTGTGGAAAAGCCACACTCAAGGGGCCAAAGCGATGTGGCTCCCGACCACGGGCCTAGGGGAACCTTGTAAACGGGCTGCTCAGTGACACTGATCCCAACAGGGAACACGTTGTCTGACGACATTTATGGGAAAAGTCCCGAATGGGCAGATGCACAGACACGGGAGGCAGATCAATGGGACGGGGAGAGAGGGGCTGGGGGAGGGGCCGGGGTGGCTGTTCAGTGGCACGGGGCTTCCACTGGCAGGGATGAGAACGTGTGGGAACGACACAGGGTGATGGCTGCCCGGCACTGTCCATGTGCTAAGTGCCAGCTAGACATTTTCTGGTGGTTAATGCTATTGTAGGTACTTTCATCTCAGTTAAAAAGAAAAAAGCCGAAACCGGTTTGGCTCAGTGGATAGAGTGTCGGCCTGCGGATTGAAAGGTCCTGGGTTCGATTCCGGTCAAGGGCATGTACTTTGGTTGTGGGCACATCCCCAGTTAGGGGGTGTGTAGGAGGCAGCTGATTGATGTTTCTCTCTCATCGATGTTTCTAACTCTCTATCTTTCTCTCTTTCTCTCTAAAAAATCAACAAAATATATATATATTTTTTTTAAGAAAGAAAGAAAAAAGACAGCCATGAGCTAGGCAGGGACCTCCCTCTGTGGCTCACAGGGACGCTGGGCCTCACGTAGCAGCAATTTACAGTGTTTCCCAAAGTGTGGTACGTGTACCCCCAGGGGCACGGTAAGAGTTTGGTGGGGATATGCACCGTACCGTGCTTAGCTGCACCTAATTCTACGTTCTCGTGAGTACGAGGGGTACTCAGCGTTACGAAAATTATAGAAGGGGGACACATATGTCTAAAGTTTGGGAACCACTGGCCTAGAAGAGGCGGCTCCCTCCCTGGCCCGCAGCCCGGGATGTGTGCACACGCTGCGGAGGGAGCTGCAGAAGCATGTGGGGACACACGCAGCTGGCCAGCCTGTGGGACAGAGGACGAGGTGCACACGGGGGTCACACAGGGGGTCACACAGGGGGGTCACACACGGGGTTCACACACGGGGTTCACACAGGGGATCACACAGGGGGTCACACAGGGTTCACACATGGGGTTCACACAGGGGGTCACACAGGGGGGTCACACACGGGGTTCACACATGGGGTTCACACAGGGGGTCACACAGGGGGGGGTCACACACGGGGTTCACACAGGGGGCCACACAGGGGGTCACACAGGGTTCACACATGGGGTTCACACAGGGGGTCACACAGGGGGGTCACACACGGGGTTCACACAGCGGGGTTCACATAGGGGAGTTCACACACGGGGGGTCACACAGGGGGTCACACAGGGGGGTCACACATGGGGTTCACACATGGGAGTTCACACACGGGAGTTCACACGGGGGTCACACACGGGGGGTTCACACAGGGGAGTCACACAGGGGTTCACACAGCGGGGTCACAGGGGGTTTCACACACGGGGTTCACACACGGGGTTCACACAGGGGAGTTCACACAAGGGGGTCACACAGGGGGGTCACACACAGGGTTCACACAGGGGAGTTCACATGGGGGGGTCACATACAGGGGGGCTCACATGGGGGGGTCACACAGCGGGGTCACACAGGGGGTCACACGGGGGTCACACAGGGGTCACACAGGGAGGTCACACAGGGGGGTTCACACAGGGGGTCACACAGGGGTCACACAGGGGGTCACACAGGGGGGTCACACAGGGGTCACACAGGGAGGTCACAAAGGGGGGTTCACACAGGGGGGTTCACACAGGGGGGTTCACACAGGGGGTCACACAGGGGTCACACAGGGGTCACACAGGGATCACACAGGGGGTCACACAGGGAGTTCACACAGCAGGCTCACACAGGGAGTTCACACAGGGGTCACACAGGGGACACACAGGGGGTCACACAGGGGTCACACAGGGGTCACACAGGGGGTCACACAGGGAATTCACACAGCAGGGTCACACAGGGGTCACACACGGGTCACACGGGTCACACAGGGCTCACACCGGGGCTCACGGGTCGGGGGAGGAGGGGTGCTCTCACCGTAGACCAGGAGCTCGGTGGTGCTGCTGCGCTGCCGGCCGCTGAGCGGGTTGCGGGCGCGGCAGGTGTAGTTGCCCTGCAGGTTCGGCGACATGAGGATCAGCGAGAAGCCGCTGGCCGTCCGGTTGCTCCCGAAGGGCTCGGGCCTGGACCCCGGGGCCTGGAACCACCACTCGACCAGGGGCGGCGGCCGGGAGCTGCTGGCGCAGCCGAAGTCCACGCGGGAGCCGCGCGCGGCGAAGCGGGTGCCGTTGGGGAGGGCGCCCGTGGAGGAGACGTTCACTGCCAGCCGGTCCGGGCCGCCTGCGGACCACAGGGGGCGGTCACTGGAGCCCCTGACCGGCTCCCACCAGCCTCACAGGCTCCCACCGGCTCTCACCGGCTCCCACCGGCTCCCACCGGCTCCCACTGGCCTCACCGGCTCCCACCGGCCTCACCGGCTCCCACCGGCCTCACCGACTCCCACCGGCTCCCACCGGCCTCACCGGCTCCCACCGGCCTCACCAGCTCCCACCGGCTCTCACAGGCTCCCACCATCTCCCACCGGCTCCCACCGGCCTCACCGGCTCCCACAGGCTCTCACCGGCTCCCACCGGCTCCCACTGGCCTCACCGGCTCCCACCGGCCTCACCGGCTCCCACCAGCCTCACCGGCTCCCACCGGCTCCCATCGGCTCCCACCGGCCTCACCGGCTCCCACCGGCTCCCACCGGCTCCCACTGGCTCCCACCGGCTCCCACCGGCCTCACCGGCTCCCACCGGCCTCACCGACTCCCACCGGCTCCCACCGGCCTCACCGGCTCCCACCGGCCTCACCAGCTCCCACCGGCTCTCACAGGCTCCCACCATCTCCCACTGGCTCCCACCGGCCTCACCGGCTCCCACAGGCTCTCACCGGCTCCCACCGGCTCCCACTGGCTCCCACTGGCCTCACCGGCTCCCACCGGCTCCCACCGGCTCCCACTGGCTCCCACCGGCTCCCACCGGCCTCACCGGCTCCCACCGGCTCCCACTGGCCTCACCGGCTCCCACCGGCCTCACCGGCTCCCACCGGCCTCACCGGCTCCCACCGGCTCCCACCGGCCTCACTGCCTCCCACCGGCCTCACCGGCTCCCACCGGCTCTCACAGGCTCCCACCATCTCCCACCGGCTCCCACCGGCCTCACCGGCTTCCACTGGCTCCCACTGGCCTCACCGGCTCCCACCGGCCTCACCGGCTCCCACCGGCCTCACCGGCTCCCACCGGCTCCCATCGGCTCCCACTGGCCTCACCGGCTCCCACTGGCTCCCACCGGCTCCCACCGGCTCCCACCGCCTCCCACCGGCTCCCACCATCTCCCACCGGCCTCACCGGCTCCCACCGGCTCCCACCGGCTCCCACCGCCTCCCACCGGCTCCCACTGGCTCCCATTGGCCTCACCGGCACTTTCTCTCATTAACCCCCAGCGATTCTGTCTGATTGACAGAAGAAAGAGTGCAAATCGCTCCATTTGAAGAACACTGGTGAGTAGAAAGTTCATCTGTGCACTAGAGAGTTCGCACAGCCGAAACCGGTTTGGCTCAGTGGGTAGAGCATCTGCCTGAGGACTGAAAGGTCCTGGGTTCGATTCAGGTTGGGGGCATGTACCTTGGTTGCAGGCGCATCCCCAGTGGGAGGGAGGGGGGTGAAGAGGCAGCTGACCAATGTTTCTCTCACATCGATGTTTTTAACTCTCTATCCCTCTCTCTTCCTCTCTGTAAAAAATCAATAAAATATATTTTAAAAAAAAAGAAAAGAAAAGAAAAAAGAGTTAACACAGCAGGCCTGAGTCTGTTCCCAGAAAGGCCAGCTTGCGGGGTGACCGGGAACGTGGATGTCAGGGGGTTCCCACCACCCCCAGAAGTGATGAGAGCGGGGCTCACTGCGCCTACACTGCGGGGACAGACCGCGTGGTTCACAGCGAACCCCAGCTTCCTTCTGAGAGTCTAGGGTTTGGCTGGGTACCTGCTAGAGGAGGCCAGAGGGACCGGCCCCCAAGAAAACTCAGGGTGCAGCCCTAGCTGGTTTGGTTCAATGGATAGAGCGTCGACCTGGGGACTGAAGGGTCTTGGGTTCCAGTCAAGGGCACATGCCCAGGTTGTGGGCTCGATCCCCAGTAGGGGGCGTGCAGGAGGCAGCCTGTTAATGATTCTCTCTCATCATTGATGTTTCTATCTCTTTCTCCCTCTCCCTTCCTCTCTGAAATCAATAAAATATATTTTAAAAAAAACAAACAAAAAATCTCAGGGTGCAGAGTCCCTAATGGCTCCTGGTAGACAGCGTTTCACAGGTGCTGCCACACGTGTGGCTCAAGGAAATCAGCGCGTCCGAGAGCGAGGACTCTAGGAAGCTCCTGGGCTTCGCTGGACTTCACCCCAATAAAAGGCGCGGGCACCTTGCCCTTCGCTGATCTGGCTGTGGGTATCTTTGCTGTGACCATGACACATGCTGAGTCCTGTGAGAACCCCCCCGCACAACTCCCCCCTCAACGGCAAACTACTCAACCCCTCCCAGCCTCCGCTGCCTCGTCTGTGAAATGGGGGTGACACCACAACCCGCCTCGTGGGGTGGTGGTGACGATTACAGGAGTTAGTCTAGCTCAGCACCCGGAACAATGCCTGACGGTGGGGAGCACGTGATGAATGCTACGTCTTACCTTCATTCCCCTCCCATCTCTGAACTCTCTTGGCCCAGAAATGCCCCCCAGGAGGCACTGCGGGTACCCAGCGCCCCTAAGATGCCACGTCGCCTTTGAGGGAAAGAATATATCCAACACCTACTTACACTCCCGTCATTTGGGGGTTTCCTCTGAAGAGGAATCCAGGAAGGGCAACGCTAGGCCGAAGGAATGAAACTATGACTACAGGAAATTCTGAGCAGAAATAGGCCAGCGGGAAAAATTACTGGGGGGAGAAAAAGGCTTTTTTCCAGAGCCCCTCACAGTACAGCATCTATTTCATCGACATCTGGAGCCACGGTATAAACTCTAGAAATGGTGGAATTCTGAGGACAATGCCCTTGATCATATGCTTGTCAAGTTGGGGCTGGTTCCTAAGAGTTTGGGCTATCTGTTAGAATCCTGTCGCCTCCCCCAGAGGCCTGAGGGGGGTGAGCCTGTGGTGTGGGAGGTGCTCAGCTGGCCCATTCACTGCGGCTGGCTAGCTGGTTAGGTATGTGGACCAGCAGGTCCGAGGGAGTGCCCACGGTTGGCAGGCACCCAGCTAAGCACAGAGTGCCTCCGAGGTCCCGGAAGCCACGCCTGAGCCAGGAAAGATAGTGCGTTAGACTGGCCAGCCAGGACTTTCAAACTGGGGTCTCACGGGCCACGGCAGCCGGGCAGGGACCGTGTGGACTCCCAGAAACTAGCCGGGGAGAGCTTCTGACCAGCACAGTTCTCAGCAAGAAGAGGAGTTGGATACAGGGAATAGATGAGAAGGACACAAATGGAAGAGTTCAAACAAAAAGCTAAATGACCCAAAACCGGTTTGGCTCAGTGGATAGAGCGTCGGCCTGCGGACTGAAAGGTCCCAGGTTCGATTCTGGTCAAGGGCATGTACCTTGGTTGTGAGCACATCTCCAGTAGGAGGTGTGCAGGAGGCAGCTGATGGTTGTTTCTCTCTCATCGATGTTTCTAACTCTCTATTCCTCTTCCTCTCTGTAAAAAATCAATAATATATATATATATATATATATATATATATATATATATATTTTTTTTTTTTTTTTTTTTTAAGTTAAATGAAATGGCCTGACAAGCGTGGATCAGTTGGTTGGGCATCTTATCAAGGCCTTGGTCAATGTCAGCTTCAGGTCTTGACTCTTTGTGGGATGGATGCCTTCGTCTAGTAGTTATGAGCTTGTAATCTGAACTCAGACAGACCTTAGGAAATTGTCCGCCCTTCTCATTCTCATTTTCTTGCCCTTTTTTTATGAGATGGAAAGAACAGGAATAACTTCTACCACTAGGTTTTCGAAGGAGCCAATGAGATACCCCGGAGCCTGGTGGTCAGCCGTCTGGAGGTTTCTGTCTGATGGCATTGGCAGCGGTGCCCCTGCACCTGGATTCTGGACCACACATTGGCAGCAGATGCCCACTGTCTGTTTTTATCTGGGCCACAAGCTCAGCATGGTTTTTATTTTTATTTTTTTAAAATATATTTTATTGTTTTTTTACAGAGGGAGGAAGGGAGAGGGATAGAGAGTTCCATCGATGAGAGAGAAACACCCATCAGCTGCCTCTCCTGCACGCCCTCTACTGGAGATGTGCCCGCAACCAAGGTACATGCCTTTGACTGGACTCAAACCTGGGACCCTTCAGTCCACAGGCCAATAAGCATGGTTTTGACAGATGGACATCCGCAATTGATTTGATGAGGGAAAACACGAACTTTGAAACCCAAGTAAGTGTAATGTTATCTCCTCCAGAAAGAATTCTGTCCTCCTCATTAATACGTAGGCCTGCACTACCAAAAAAAAAAAAAAGCACTCAATTATCACTACACTTTGAATTTTGTCAGTAATATGATGTAAAAGATGGTTTTCTTTCTTTTTATATAAGTATTTACGTATATAATAACCTCAATTTTGCCCATTGGCCCATAACGCCCAAAATATTTACCATCTGGATCTCTACAGAAAAGGCTTAACTCCTGTTCTATTATAGAACCATTTAGCACTGCTGCTGCCTTCCTCTTCTCTGCTGTCATTGTTTTTTTGTTGTTTTATTTTTTTATATTTTATTGATTTTTCACAGAGAGGAAGGGAGAGGGACAGAAAGCTAGAAACATCGATGAGAGAGAAACATCGACCAGGGGATGTGCCTGCAACCAACATACATGCCCTTGACCGGAATCGAACCTGGGACCCTCCAGTCCGCAGACCGACGCTCTATCCACTGAGCCAAACCGGTTTTGGCTCTGCTGTCATTCTTTTTTTTTTTTTTTTTTAATTTATTTTTTTTTTATTGATTTTGTACAGAGAGGGAGAGAGATACAAAGTTAGAAACATCGAAGAGAGAGACTCATCAATCAGCTGCCTCCTGCACACCCCCCACTGGGGATGTGCTCACAACCAATGTACATGCCCTTGACCGGAATTGAACCCGGGACCCTTCAGTCCCCAAGCCGACACTCTATCCATTGAACCAAACCGGTTTTGGCTCTGCAGTAATTCTTGACATAGAGCTCACCTCTCTCCTTCCCCCACAACTACAGGTTGGCCAGACAAGGGCCTCAAATGGTTAGTCTGCACCTCGGCACCCACTTAAGGGGAGACTCCATCTCCGTGGTGGGTTCCTCGCCAACAGGAGAAACGGCCTTCAGACATTTGTTCCCGTTCCCGGCACTTTTACCTGAAAACGATCTAAGAATCCACTGGGTAGCTGCCAGCCAGTGGGTGTATTGACAGTTCTCCTGCAGGATAAGATCCCGGGAAAACTCACAGAAACTGTTTTCATGTCACTTTTGGAGACGGAACAAAGACGCAAACACAACCACCCCACGGCCCCCGACCTCCCCAGGGATGTTGATTCTGGCCGAAGAGTGGGGACCCGTCGCTGCTCCTGATGAGCTTGGCGAGACTCGGACGAACCCACCTCTGGGCGAAGATCACCGTCTTCCATGGGGGCCAGCGATCTGTCCTCCAGGTGCCCCCAGTCCTCCCCCTGGGACCTCAGGCTGTGGGGAGGCCCAGGGCCACCACCGCCAGCAGAGAATGAGTGCCAACGGGATGGGCCCCGAGAGCGAGGGGAGCAGGGGCTTTCCTGAGCCTGTGTCTCCGGTGAATCTGGAGCGACAGCCACACCACCGGGCAGGAGAGAAGCCCCTCCTCCCTCCAAACCCCACCTACATCACCGGCTCCTGTGCCACCGCCCCCTATACCCCACCTACATCACCGGGCTCCTGTGCCACCGCCCCCTATACCCCACCTACATCACCGGGCTCCTGTGCCACCGCCCCCTATACCCCACCTGCATCACCGGCTCCTGTGCCGCCCCCTATACCCCACCTGCATCACCGGGCTCCTATGCCACCGCCCCCTATACCCCACCTACATCACCGGGCTCCTGTGCCGCCCCCTATACCCCACCGACATCACCGGCTCCTGTGCCCCCTCCAAACCCCACCTACATCACCGGCTCCTGTGCCACCGCCCCCTATACCCCACCTACATCACCGGCTCCTGTGCCACCGCCCCCTATACCCCACCTACATCACCGGCTCCTGTGCCACCCCCTATACCCCACCTACATCACCGGGCTCCTGTGCCGCCGCCCCCTATACCCCACCTACATCACCGGCTCCTGTGCCACCGCCCCCTACACCCCACCTACATCACCGGGCTCCTGTGCCGCCCCCTACACCCCACCTACATCACCGGGCTCCTGTGCCGCCCCCTACACCCCACCTACATCACCGGCTCCTGTGCCACCGCCCCCTACACCCCACCTACATCACCGGCTCCTGTGCCGCCCCCTATACCCCACCTACATCACCGGCTCCTGTGCCACCGCCCCCTACACCCCACCTACATCACCGGCTCCTGTGCCGCCCCCTACACCCCACCTACATCACCGGGCTCCTGTGCCGCCGGCCCCTATACCCCACCTACATCACCGGGCTCCTGTGCCGCCCCCTATACCCCACCTGCATCACCGGCTCCTGTGCCGCCCCCTATACCCCACCTACATCACCGGCTCCTGTGCCGCCGCCCCCCGCACACCGGCCTGGCCTGAGGGAAGCAGACAGCCTGGCTCTGTGCACCCCACGGCGGCCTCTCACGGGGAATCTCTATGGGGTCGCCCGGCTCCCCACGGCACGGAGATGCTCTCCCGAGAGAAGCACAGTCTACCGGGACGTGCCGAGGTCGGTGCCGCCTCCCCGCTCCGCCGGCCTGTCTGCAGGCAGAGGCACAGCTGTTCCAACCTCTCACCACGCGGTCCGGAGGCAGGAGGGGCTGTGACATCAACGGCCATGAACTGCTCTGGACCCTGCGAGCTCTGTTCCCCCAATCCTAACAGCACCCTTACGTTAACCGGTCTCAGCGCGGGGACTGTTTGTCCTGATACGAATAACAAGAATTAAATCGTGTAGCCCTGACCAGTTCGGCTCGAAGGATAGCGCGTCGGCCTGCGGACTCAAGGATCCCGGGTTCAATTCCGGTCATGGGCATGTTCCTTGGTTGCAGGAGGCAGCTGACCGGTGCTTCTCTCTCATCGATGTTTCTAACTCTCTATCCCTCTCCCTTCCTCTCTGTAAATAATAATAATAATAATAATAATAATCAATAGAATATATGTATGTTTGTTTTTAAAAAAAAAAAAAATCACCTCCTGGAGCCCATTCCAGACAGGCTGCCTCAGCCCAGGTGTCCGGAAACCCTGACTCCTAGAAGGCAGACTCGCCCAGCGCCCACCTCAAGCTCCCAGCCACCAGCGCTGGCTGCGGGTCGGGCACTCTGTGTGCCCAGATCTCACGTGTCCCCTCTCTCCCCTGACGTGGCTGATACCCGAGTCCCGTAGGCAGAGACCCAGGCGGAGGAGGGAGACGCGGCCGCCCTCACCGCGGCTCTGTGCTCTGCAGTCCCACACTCGTCACTCGCAGATAACAACCGGCCACCTCTCCAGTACTCTCTCCCCGCACGCAAGGCCGTGCGAGAATGTTCCCAAACGTTCCTCCTGAAGAGACTCGGTTATCAGCCAAGTCAGGGGAGAGAGGGGACACGTGAGATCTGGGCACACAGAGTTCCCGACCCACAGCCAGCCGGTGGCGGCGGGAACCTGAGAGGCACTTTTCCCCACAGGAATCCCGTCACCTGCCTGACCAGTGGGTCAGAGCGCCGTGGGCCAGTGCACCCTGTGTGTCCAGCCCTGTGCAGGGCTCTCTCCGGCACGGGTGCGGTGGGTCTGTGCTTAGGCTCCGCCGACGATAAAGTGAAGGCCGGACGAGTTCAATGACTTCCCCAAGGTCACAAAGACAGCAGCCAGCAGGACGCAGAATTTACACCTTGTGCACCTGCCCCACCTAGAACGTGGGCTCCGGGCGGGTGGGGACCTTGCCCCCTGGCCCAGTGCCTACAACGTGCCTGGCATCGGGCTCTCAGCAAATACACACCGAGGAAAGGAAGGAGTAAATGCCACAGTTTACAGAGGAGGAAACTCAGGGAGCAGCAACGTGAGCGGATGGGTATTCCTACTGAACTGCACAGCAAACTTCTGTGAAGGGACAGAGGATACATTTCTGAGGCCTCGCAGGCCATACAGTCTGTGTCACAGCCACTCAGCGCTGCTGTCGCAGTGCCAAAGGCAACGGGATAATATGTCAATGGACAAGTGAGGCTGTGCTCCAATGAAACCTCATTTACGGGCCCTGAGATCTGAATTTCATATAATGCCGAAACCGGTTTGGCTCAGTGGATAGAGCGTCGGTCAAGGGCATGTACCTTGGTTGCGGGCACATCCCCAGTAGGGGGTGTGCAAGAGGCAGCTGATCGATGATTCTCTCTCATCGATGTTTCTAACTCTCTATCCCTCTCCTTTCCTCTCTGTAAAAAATCAATAAAATATATATTTTTTTAAATAATAATTTTCCTATGTCATAGATATTACTCTTCTTTTGATTCCCCCTCACACACACCAAATGTATAAAAATGTAAAATAGTATGGCAAAACAAAAATAGGCAGCAGATTGGATAAGGCCCACAGGCTGTACTTTACCAACAACATGGTCTAGAATCATGCATGCATATGGACGCTACTTCTGGAAAGCACAGTAGTGATAGCAGCTCATGCTCAGCCCTGCGCTAAGCACCACAACCTAAGAGTGCATAGCTGGTAAGGTATGCGATGTATTATCCCCACCTAATACATTAAAAAAAAAAAAAAGCTGAGTGATATCAAGCTCCTTATTAAAAATGATAAGAGACAGCCATAGGACTGGAACTCAGGTAGTCTAACTCGATTATGTTGCACCCTGACTTTGCTGTATAATAAAATGATATTGACAACAAGCTCAACGGAACAGCTAGCTATTATGCCAGGAAACATTTACAGCACTCTATATAGGTCGACTGGCATCTATTCATCTCGCAATTCTACGCGGAAAAGAACCCTTTTATCCCCATTTTACAGATGAGAAAACACAGGCGCAAGAGGTCACTCAGCTTGCAGGTGGGCAGAGCCCAGAATGACACCCAGGCCATGGCCTCCTGTCCACTGCTCTGTGCACCGCACCCGCCGGTCCCAGACCCTCCCATTGCACTTACTGGCCACCTGCAGCCACACGTGGAACCACCGAGTCTCGTTCAGGGCCTCCCAGCAGGTGTAGTTGCCCTCGTCCTGCAGGCTCAGTGCCTCGATGTGCAGGGAGCTGGCGTTCACCAGGGAGAAGCGGGGCTGGGCTGGCGGGCGGCTGGCATTGGAGGACAGGAGGAAGACGGGCTCCGAGTCATTCCGGTACCAGGTCACCAGGCCCCTGGTTGCCGAGATGTTGCCGCAGGGAAGAGTCACGTTCTCAAGAACCTCTCCGATGACGACAGCCTCCAGGCCTGCACAGAAAAAGGCCAGGCTATTACTACCTTTTTGGTGTCTGAACCACCTCCTTTTTTGCACGGTCCCTCCACATTAGCCGTTTAAAAAAATCAGCTGTAGGTTTTTGCGATGCAATAACACACAGAGTCCCCACCCTTTTGGGACAGTTGGCCAGTACTTGACATGAACCACAAACAAAAGCACAATGAAGATACCTGCCACTCCACAGCCACTAACATGGCTACAATCAAAGACAATAATAAGTGTTGGCAAAGATGTGGACAAACGGGAACTCATACATTGTTGGTAGGATTTTTAAATGCTGCATCTACTGGGAAGACAGTTGGGCATTTTCACATAAGGCTAAAGTTACCATGTGACTCAGCGATTCCACTCTGAGGTGTATACCAAACAGAAATGAAAACATATGTCTACACAAAAACGTGTATGTGCATGCTCACAGCAGCAATATTCATAATGGCCAAAAGGCAGAACCAAAGGCTCATCAACCGGTGAATGAATAAATACAATGTGGTATATCCACACAATGGGAATATTATTTGGCCATAAAAAGGAATGAAGTGCATGCTACATCATGGATGAGTCTTAAAAGCATTCTTTAAAATGAAAGGAGGCAGTCATAAAAGGCCACAGCCTGCCCTAGCCAGTTTGGCTCCGTAGATAGAGTGTCGGCCCGCATACTGAAGGGTCCTGGGTTCAATTCCAGTCAAGGGCACAAGTCTAGGTTCCAGTTTGATCCTCAGTGTGGGACATGCAGGAGGCAGCCGATCAAGGATTCTCTCTCATCATTGATGTTTCTCTCTCTCTCTCCCTCTCTGAAAGCAATAAAAACATATATATATATATTTTTTTTAAAAAAGACCACATACTTGTGTGGTTCCATTTATCTGAAATGTCCAATACAGGCAACTCTATGGAATAGAAAATAATTAGCAGATGTCTAGGTCTGGAGGAAATGGGAGTAGTGGGAGGGTGGGGAATGACTGCTAATGAGTACAGGGTGTGTGTTTTTTAATGATTTTTTAAAATTTTTATTGATTTTGGAGAGGAAGGAGGAGGGAGAGGCAGAAACACCAATGATGAGAGAGAACCTCCCATCGGCTGCCTCTTGTAGCCCCCTACTGAGGACTGAGCCCACAACCCGGGCATGTGCCCTTGACTGGAATTGAACCTAAGACCCTTCAGTCCACAGGCTGATGCTTTGTCCACTGAGCCAAACCGGCTAGGGCTAGGGCTTATTTTTGGGGTGATGAAAATATGCTGATGGTTGCACAGTCTTGTGACTAAACTAACAACTATAAATTGTGCACTGAAAAAAGGGTGAATTTTATGGTATGTGAATTCTATCTCAGTAGAGTTACTATTAAGAAAAAAACCAACACCTGCCAGCTGCCTCTGGGAATCGTTCCCCTTTATAAAATAAAGAGGAACAGTTATCTGTACCCCAATCTTTTGTCTGGTTACTTGTGGCTCCATTTGAACGACGTGAAGCCAGCTCAGAACCACAGGATTTCTGATTCTCTCCCCATTTTGGCCAAAGTCAGGACAAGATGGAAAAAAAAGAAAAAAAATCTAAGCCACTTGCTGGAAGGCAAAGAATGCCACTGAATGCTAGAGATTCCAAAACGGCAAGAAATGCATCTGGGAAAAACAACACTTTAAAAAGCAAGGGAGGCCCTGACCAGTTTGGCTCAGTGGACAGAGGGTCGGATTGCAGACTGAAGGGTCCTAGGTTCGATTCCGGTCAAGGATGTGGACACATCCCCAGGAGGGGGTGTGCAAGAGGCAGCTGATCGATGTTTCTCTCTCACTGATGTTTCTCACTTCCTCTCTGTAAAAAATTAATAAAATGTATTTTTTTAAGAAGCAAGGGAGAATTACTTTTAAACAATTAGGCCTGGGAACCCCGATTCTCAGTGACAATTCCCACTGAGGAGAGATGAGCTGTAGAATCAGAGATGCAACATGTGTTCATGAGGCCTACAGACCTGCCTCTCTCCCGGCTCCTGACACAGGGCTACAGGGGCTTGGAAAAGCCCTGGTGAAAGTTTAGTCTTGGAACCGGAGCGAACAGTGGCCCTCTCCTCCTGGAGCGGATGACACCATCACAGAAGAAACCTTCTCAAGGCGCTCCCAGCTCCCTCCTGGCTGTGCTCCCTCCGTCCTCTTAAACCAGCGAAGCTGAAGCTGACCTTGGGGATCTCTTAGGCTGGCAGCCTGGGGGCGGGGTTAAAGTTGAGGCAGGCTGAGCCCTGGCTCAGGGCAGAGAGTAGAGCCACAGACTAGTGATGTCTGTGAAACAGGCACAGAAAGGATAGTGGGGGCGACGGTGGGGCCCTCTAGTTCCATGCCTGCTTGTCCTATAACCCTTCGTTTTGCATTGAGAAAACTGAGGTCCAGAAAGCGTCCAGTGATTTCCTTGAGGTCCCTGTGAGCCTGGGGGAGAGCTGGGAGCATCAGGTGTTCACGACTCCAGGTCGCAGGGACTCACTGTGGTCTCCAACCAGACAGGGCGGGACGATATGACAGGTCAGTCTGCGCTGTTCGCAGTCACCACCTGGTGTCCAGAGGGCCCGGGGTCTCCCAGTGGAGCAGAGGGGAACGCCCCCGCCACGGCCATTTCCCAGCGCGGCCCTCATCCTGTCATGGATAGAGAGTGGGGGCTGCATCCAAACTTTTTTTTTTTTCTAGCAACTTTCCCCCAAGAATGACGCAGGATTTACCATCTGCGGCAGCAGTGGAGGCATGAGCATTGTCTGAAGCTAAGAGACAGAAAAAAGGCAATTTTTTTCCCCTGAGAAAACTCTCCATTTGGAAAACAAACAACAAAAATATAACGACTGGGGAAGCCCTCAGCCCCGTACACAGGGGTGAACTTGGCCGGGGATCAAAGTAACGGGCCTGGCCGCAGAGGCGGCGGTCCCGCCTGGTGGTTCCAGGATGATTCAAACCGGGGACATCAAACTGAGATCTGACATCCCCGGCCCCGGAGTTCACTATGAAGGAAACCTGCAAATAGCTGGGGAGAGGGGGCCGGGGTGAGAGGTACCACCAGGAAGGAGAAACAACCTGGGGCCATCAGCCCCAGGGACAGGGGTGACCCCGGCTCAGATGTCGTAGGAAAGCAGGCTGTGCGCAGCCAGAGCTTCAGAATATTTTCCAGATAAACTGGTTATGGGCGATGAGACCGTTTCTAAATAATTGCTAAACACAAAACAAAATAAAAACTTGTGCGAGCAATGATAAGATATGTACACAGATAATAATTTAATAATAATAATAAAACTTGTGCGAGCCTAACAGGAACTTTTGGCACTTGCTGCTAGGAAGCTCGGGAGCAATTCCTACAGGACCTGCAAGAGATGAGCTGGGTGTGCAGGACTGGGCAACACCCCACAAGGACACTGGCAAACTCCATCACACACACACCCGCTCTTTCTCCTGCTCCTCTACCCAACACCTCTCACTCACTGCTCTGCACACCACAGACATGCATTCGCTAGTGGATTAAATTTTAAAACAAATTTTCCATCTTTTTATATTCTGCTTATTTTTGTAGAGCACAGATAATGCATTTAAGACCTTTTGTCAATCAGGTCAAGTGTAAGAGGTCATGCCGAGGGTAGAGGAAGCTGTTTGTAAGCTTGAAACTATTTCAAAACGACAACAAAAACCTAAGCGAAGTAAGGAGGCACGAGTGCACAGAAGCCTGCCTGCGGGGTGTGCGGGGAACACCGCGGGTTACAGGAGTGAGGCAAGCTCAACCTCAGCAGAGAGGGGCCTGTGGAAATAAAACATCCACTTTGAGCACCTGCTCGGCAGGTAAAACCAGAATGCGGACTTACATCCCACGCTTAAAAACAACAACACTTTCTCCCTCCACGTGCGTCTTCATTTCCCAGCATCAGAATTCCCACGTTCCGTTTCCCCACGTTCCCTTCCACCTCTGCTCAGGCCTGGAGCGTGGGGACCCTCGCCCCGGAGCGCGGGGACCCCCCTCCCCGGAGCGCGGGGACCCCCCCCTCCACGGGGCGCGGGGACCCCCCTCCACGGGGCGCGGGGACCCCCTCTCCGGGGCGCGGGGACCCCCTCCCCGGGGCGCGGAGACCTCCCTCCCCGGAGCGCGGGGACCCCCTCTCCAGGGCGCGCGGACCCCCCTCCACGGGGCGCGGGGACCCCCCTCCACGGGGCGCGGGGACCTCCCTCCACGGGGCGCGGGGACTTCCCTCCCCGGAGCGCGGAGACCCCCCCCCTCCACGGAGCGCGGGGACCCCCTCTCCGGGGCGCGGGGACCTCCCTCCACGGAGCGCGGAGACGCCACTCCCCGGAGCGCGGGGACCCCCCTCCCCAGGGCGCGGGGAACCCCTCCCCGGGGCGCGGAGCCGGGGAAATTCCTCTCCGCAGGGACCGCGCTTCGAGCAGGAAACTCCGGAGCCGCCGGGCGGGGAGCGGCGGCGCCCAGGACCGGAGCCCGCGGAGCCGGGCACTTGGGTCCCGGGCTTCCCCTCCTCCCGCCGTCGCCGGGCCAAACTCAACTCCCCGGATCGCGGCCTCACCTGCGGCGGCCCCGCGGGCCAGCAGCGCCCCGAGGCAGAGCAGCACCCGGGGCGCGGGCGCCCGCGCGGCCATCTCGCCCGGCGGCTGCAGGCCCCGCGGGAGGCGCAGGTCCGGCCGGGCTGGGCTGGGCCCCGGGCCCCAAGCGCTGCTCCCGGGTCCTCGGCACCTCGGACCCGCTCCCTCCGCGGCCGGGGAGGATGCTCGGGGAGGGGAGCTCGGAGCGGGGCTGCAGCGGCGCTGGCTCCCGGCGCGGTCCTCCCTCCTGAGCGCCCGGCCCGGGCGGGAGGGCGCACCCCGCCCGCGCCCGCCGCCGCTCCGCCCGCGGAAAACAACAGGAGCGGCCCCCCTCCCCGCCCTTCCAGGCGGGAGCCGACTTCCCCCACCGCGGCCGGAGGAGGGCTTATGCAAAGGGCGCGGAGCCGCTCTGCCCGGCGGGGGCGGAGCGCGGGGCTGGGCCGCCCGGGGCCGCCGAGCCGCGGGGACAGCCGGGCCGGGCCGGGCCGGGCCGGGCGCTGCGGCGGCCGCAGGAGGACGCCCCGGGGTCCGGCTGCCAGCGGCCCCCGTCCCCGCGCCCCGCCTGCAGCCCCCGGAGGGGCGGCCGGGCTGGGGCTCCGGTCCCCGTGCCATCCCTGCGGCGCTGCTCCGGGGCCGCCCTGTCCCCGGAGCTCCTTGTCCCACCCGGGGCGGCCCCGGGCGAGTGAGAGCGGGGAAAGGGGGCCCCATCCCCTCCCGGCCCGGGAGCCGCCCCATCCCGGCAGTTTCCCGGAAAACTGCCTTCCCCGCCGGCCTCCGGGAGCCGGGTGAGACCTCAGGAAGCGGGGACACCGGCGCGGCCCCGCCAGAAGCTTCCTCTTTCGAGAAGCCCGTGAACCCGGGAGACGGCGGCGCGGACAGGGGTGTTTGCGCTCCGCTGTGCTGTTTTGGAAAATTTCCCCTTCACCTACCTACCTCACCATGACATGTTGAGGGGAAAAAAACAACAACAACAAAAACTGCTATTAAAAAAAAAATAAAGATCGCTCGTTCTGTGGCTCCGGGCCCCTTCCTGAAATACCTCTTCCATGATGAAATCCTCTGGAAACCAATAAAAGGGTGTGTTTCGCCCGGTGGACGGAGCCATAAAGTTGCAGGCTTTTTGCTCTTCCTCTTCGGCTGCCGGTTTTAACTCTCAGCCGGCTCCGGGCCGCCCTCCCTCCTGTCCCAGCCCCTTCGGCGCTGGCTTCATCGTCTACCTGCCAAAGGGAAGCAGAGCCCATCCTAGACACACCGCCCTGTATCCCCAGTGCCTGGTGTCCCCCAACCTGCATTTTTGTTAGGTAAACCCATGGAGCTCATTGGCTTTGATATGGCAGTTCCTGAAGCTTTCCTGACGCCTCCCTCCGCGCTGAGGTTGACAGGATACAGTAAAATCCGCTAACTGGCAAGGTGTCTGCCCAGAGTGTGCGTTTTCTGACTGGTGTGCTTGCTGGGGGAGCTGCGCGCAGCAGGCCCTCCTGATGTGCTCACCGTCTCAAAGGCATGGTCTTGGGACCAATAAAATATGTTTTAAAAATAATAAACAAACAAGCTCCAGAAGGGCCCACCTCCTCCACCCCCTACAGCGCTGGCAGCAGCTCCCCTCTGCATGGCCGGGCCTTTTCCTTTAAGCCACTGAAGCAACTCCATCTCACTGGGCCCCCCCGACAACTCTTGGACCTAAGGAATTATTGAACCTCATTTTATTTGCTTGTTTGTTAATTATTTTTAAAACATATTTGATTTCAGAGAGGGAGAGAGAGAGAGAAACATCAATGATGAGAATCACCTATGGCTGCCTCGCTGAGGGGATGGGGGGGTGGGGGGCACGGAAGGGTGTAATTCACAACCGGGGCACGTGCTAGACTGGGAATCGAACTGTGACCTCTTGGTTCATCGGTTGACACTGGACCCCCAGCCACACCGCCCCGTCAACCTCGTTTTATAAGGGAGAGACCCACAGTTCTGGAGAAGGTGAAGTTCTAGATCACAAAGCCAGCTGGTGGTAAGGCCAGGACTGGAACCCATGTCTGTTCAACTCCAAGTCCAAAATTGTCACGTACACAAAGGCTGCCGTGTCTGGACGCTCTGGGGTCATCAGGGCGGCAGGCACGGGCGTTCCTCCGAGCAGGGCTTGGAGGAAGCCTGGAGACCAGGAGGTCTGGGTCAGAGCCGGCCCAGGACACATCCACCTCTCTGCCTCCGAGACAGGAGCTGTCCGGAATCACCCTGGTAAGAGCTTCACATACCACTGAACCCTCAGCACCACCCTGAGGGTAGGCATTGCCAGTCCCAACCTGCAGGTGGCTCAGAGAGGCCAGGTTGCATAGCAAGTTAGCGGGAGAGCTCAGCCCTGACCCCAGCGGGCTCTGAGGCAGTGCTGCCTTGTTCAGTCTGGAGGGGCTTCGACCTGACTCCACAGCCCGTGCTCCAGCAGCCGCCCTGGCTCTCTGAAGCCATCAAGCAACCCCTTATGTCTGCCCGTCTCCTCCCTAGAGGTGATGCTGGAAGGTTTCTTAGCAACAGCCTGCTTCTGGCACTATGCTCCTGGGGGCTTCGGAGGGGGCTGCCCTCCAGGAACAGCGGAGGGTAGAGCCTGGCCCCTCAGATCCAGCTCTGGACCCCTCACAGCCAGAAGCACTAAGAGGCAAATGACAAAACCCTCTGTGTGCCCCCCCGGATGGGCCTGGGACCCCCAGGCCGGCACCCCAGGAACAGGAGCAGCCCGGCTGACCCTCTGCAGAAGAAAGCCTGCCAATCCCTCTGACACACACCTTCCCCACCTCCCCTGGGCCGCCTGCCCAGAAGGAAAGAATCGGGTACAGATCCTCTAGCAAGAAAGTTTCTGAGATCAGGTGAAGTTCCCAGAAGAAGCAGACAGGATGAGATAGAAAAAAATGGAAAGTGGACAGTTGTCAAATGTCTACTATTTTCGGCTCCTTTCTGGACTGGAGGCCAGGAGGGTGAAGCTTGGTGTCTCTGACGGGCAGAGAACCACAGGACTTAGAAGGCAGATCCACCCCGGAAGACAAAATGCCACTCGCAGAGGGACCAGGAGAAGGATCACCTAGTTCCCTCAGAATGGGCAGCCGTGGGCTGGCGAGAGGCGGGCAGCCAGAGGTGTGCTGGGGAAGGTCTGACCATCACCATGGCTCCTGCTGGTGGGTGGGTGGTCTGTAGTGCTCACCGTTTCTCGTGGTGGAAATACTCCTACAATCACCAACTTCAAGCTGTCACTCGAGGTTACTGAGTTACAGGCACCACTGGCTCTCCTGAGCCAGTACAGGGAAAGTGAAACACTGGGCAGGATCACCCAGGGGGATGCCTGGGGGAGCCAGACAGATAGCACAGGCGGAGAGCCATCTTTTATCACTCTCTTGCTCTTTGATCTCACACTCACCCATTGAAAGCATTTGTGGGCCAAGGTAAGCGTTATTTTCCTAACTCCAGTTGGGAAACAGGAATCGTCCACAGTAAGTGCATTTCATGGATGAGGCTAGGGGGAGAGTACACTCAGGGAACCCCGAGAAAGCTCAGATAAAGCACTGTTTTCTGAGGGTGACATGTCCATTTCTTAGATGGCATTGGCTTTGTCCTGATTATAAACAGACCATGCCTTTCTAGAATAACGAGAAAAAATAGAAGACAAAAGGTAACCGTAACCCACCTAGAAATTATCACCGTCATTACTAGGAACTTCTCATGTTTTCTGCTGCGTTCCAATGTGCGTGATATTTTTTTTCTTCAAAGTTGCAATGACAAAGCTTTGGTCCCTGCTAATTTTCCTTAACTTAATATTAAAAGTATATAATGTGATTTTTTTGGACAAGTAATTTGTTTTTTTAACCAGAAAAAATAATAAAATAGTAATTGATATATATATATATGTATATATATATATATATATATATATATATATATAGTGTGTGT